AGCTCCAATGACCATGCGAAAATTTCCAAGGCCACCCAACTGAACCTGAACAGTTCTCACTGTTAAGAAGTTTTCCATAATACAATGAAAATCTGCCTCTATGATTCCACCAGTTCTGCCCTCTGGTGTAGGCAAAACAGTCTTAGTCCCTAATTCCACAATGGTGATGGATGAAAAAGAATAATGGGTTTCTAGTTTGAAGACTTTTACGAAAACCCCACCTCTACTGTTTCCTAGAGACAACACTGAGGATGTCATTTCTCTACTTGGCTTCCTCTTCTTCCAGTAAAATGGGTAAAGTACCTATACCACCACCTACCTCAGAGGCTTGTTGTGAAGATCAAATTAAGTACTTTATTTAAAGTGATTTAGAAAAGCAAGCGATTGGGGCAGCTAGGTGGCGCAGTGGATAGAGCACCGGCCCTGGATTCAGGAGGACCTGAGTTCAAATCCGGCCTCAGATATATAACACTTACTAGCTGTATGACCCTGGGCAAGTCATTTAACCCCATTGCCTAGCCAAAAAAAAGTAAGCAATTGTCGTTGCCTAGATGATGGTGGCCACTTTGGTCGGGCAGTCCACCAACAGATGCGAGAGCTGACCATTAGCTGACCCCAAGACGACACTTCTACCAAAACCCCTCTTGCTGACATTACTGTTCTCGGGTGAAGAATGCCATTGTGGCTGAAGGACTGGGTGTGGTGTCAGGAAGGAGTGGCCTGTATCCCATGCTCTGAACTTACTAGCTGATGAGCCAGGGCTCTGTATGCCTCAGGGAATCCCATAGGACTTGTCTACCAGGTTACAATTTGCCTCGATGGAGTATTGGCTTCCAACTTCATCAGAACCGCTCTTTCCAAAGCTACCGATGAATTCTTGATGGCCAAATCCAATGGCCTTCTCTCAGTTCTCCATTGCCTTGACCTCTCTGCAGCAGGACCTCCTGGACACTCTATCTCTCTAGGTTTTCATGACATTGTTCTCTCCTGGCTCTCCTCCTGCCATCTGCTGCTGCTTCTTTCAGGCTGTGCCTCTGGGTATCTCTCCCAAAGTTCTGTCCTAAGTCCTCTTCTCTTTTCACTCTAGACTCTTCCTCAGATTCCATGGGCTCAACTACCATCTCTATGCAGATGATCCCCAACCCCACCTCCTCTCCTAGGGCAGCTAGGTGGCACCACAGTAGATAGAGTGCCAGGCCTGGAGTCAGAAGACTCATCTTGAGTTCAAATCTGGCTCAGTCACCCACGAGCTGTGTGACCCAGGGCAAGTCACTTAACCTTGTTTGCCTCAATTTCCTCATCTGTAAAACAAACTGGAGAAGGAAATAGCAAACCACTCCAATATCTTTGCCAAGAAAACCCCAAATGGTGTCACAGAGTTGGACACAATTGAATTGACTGAACAACAATAACCACTCTCTCCTGACCTCTAGTCATCCGTCACTAATTGCCTATTGGACATCTTGAATTGGACATTCCATAGACATCTTAAACTCAACATGTACAAAACTGCACTCGTTCTCTTTGACCTCAAATCCTCCCCTCTTCAAACTTACCTATGACTGTCAAGGACACCACCATGAACCTAGTCACCCAAGATGACAACCTTGGGGTCATCCTCAACTCCTTCCCTGCACTCTCCCCAGAGAGCCAATCTGTTCTCAAATCTTCTCGTTTTTGCCTTCACGACCTCTAATTTATGCCCTGTCTCTCATACAGTGGCCACCTTAGCTCATGACCTCTTCACCACTGTCCTGGAATTCTGCAATATCTTTTTTTTTTTTTTTAATGAGACAATCAGGGTCAAGTGACATGCCCAGGGTCACACAGCTAGTGAATATCATGGGTCTGAGGCAGGATTTGAACTCAGGTCCTCCTAATATCTTTCTACCTGGTGTCCCTGCCTCAAGTCTCCAACCACTCCAACCCATCCTTCGCTCAGGCACCAAAGGGATTTTTCTAAGGCCTGGATCTTTAGAGGGGACTCCCCCTCCCCTTAAAAAACGCCACTGTTCTCCTATTACCTATTACCTCCAGGAGCAAACAGAAACTCATTTGTTTGTCATAAACCAGCCCCTTCTTACCTTTCCAGTCCTGTTACACTTCACACCTCTCCACATACTATCCACAAACATAACCCTCCATCTCTCATCCCTGCGATTTTAGCGTGGGCAGGACCCATGCCCAGAGGGCTCCCCCCTTCACCTCTGCCTCCTGGCTTCCTCAGGATTCTCCTTCTGCAGGAGGCCTTGCCAGGTCCTCCCAAAGGCTAAGGCCTTTCCTCTGGGGTCGCCTTCCACATCCAGACATTCCATATGGATCCTGTGTGTAAGTATGCATAGAGATGTGTGGATAGACACGTATGTATACTCTGTACACACACATGCAAAGATATGTCTTACATTATGCATACACAGACATATATACCTGTACACATACATAGATATATGTGCTTATCTGTCAATTTTCTCCCGTTCGAATGTGAACTTGAGGGCAGAGACTCTACTGCCTTTCGCTGCGTCCTCAGCTCTTAGCGTAGTACCAAACAGAGCTTAATGCATGCTTGCTGCTGACACCCAGCTGCTAAACAGAGATGTCGGGGCCCTTCCATGTCGTGTTTTCTGTGTAGCCTTCCCCTCCGTTTTCTGGTCACAATCGCTTACGAACAACGTCCACTGCACCGGAGCTGAGGTAAAAGGAGGCGAGGTTTGTCTTGTGTCTGGTCAGGCAAAGTGCCCGGAGGGCAGTGGACGTTGAGGTGGAAACCAGACAGCTACAGAAAGCCCTGAGCGCGAGTGATCAGATCACTACCCTGCTCAAAAGAATCTGAGGTCTTCTCTCTTGTGCTAAGATGAGAACCCACAAGCGGGCTCCAAGCCCCGTTTCCAGTTTTCTTTCCCATGAGCCCTCTTCATGCTTCCCACTTTTAGCTGAACTGGACAGTTAACTCTTCTGGGATCTCCTCCTGCTACCCCTCACCTCCACACATTTACACAAGCTATTCCTAAATGAGAAGGCTCCCTTCAGACTCATGAAATCCTCTTTTTCCAAAGCTTTCCCTCAGCCCCCCCCCCCCCCGATAAAAGCGATCCCTCCCTCCTAGACATTGGACCACCCTTCTAGAGCTGAAAGGGATACTGGAGGTCATCTTCTCATTTTACAGATGGGGAAACTGAGGCTCAGAGAAATGATTTGCTCAAGGTCATGTAGCTAACAAGGGGCAGAGCTGGGTCTTCTGACTAGAAATCCAGTGGTCCTGCCTTAGCACCGTTCTGCTTCCTCAAATATGCCTTTGGATCTCTTTGGGTCCTGTCTTGGACTCCCTCACCCAATCCTCCTCTTCTCCCATGTGGCATTCCTGCCCCTCCCCAGGCTCCTTGAGGGGAAGGGCAGTGGTCATTTTTCATCTTCGGATCTGCACAGCCAGCCCCAGCAGGCTATCAACAGACATTTGTTGAATGGTACAGCTCCCATCCCACCCGGGTCCTCCAAGGGAAGAAGGCTGATTGCATCCCTTCTGCCAGGGAGAGCGTCAGATATAGTTCTCCTGCTCTGGCTGGCCTCAATGCCCGGCTGTGAGGCAGAAATCCAGGCCTCCCGCTCCCCTCCCCCACCCCCCCAAGACCTAACCACACACCAACACCTGAGATGCTCCGTGGAGGCCGTGCAGAATGCACAGAACTACCAATTCTCAGTCTGGTCACGCCTCTCGCTCATCAATTCACACACAAGGCAGACCCACCCATTATCGCTCAGCTCTCTTAGGATCCGTTCCTTTGATCAAACCAAAATCTACCCTCCCCAAAACTTGCCCATTTCTGAGAGGGGATGGTGGGGAGAGGTGAAACAAGTTCTGTCCCTCTTCCAGGGGACAGCCCCCCAGGGACTTAAAGACAGCTATCCTGGCCCCCAAGTCTTTTCTTCACCAAGCTAAAACCCCCAGTTCTCCCCCCTACTTCCTGTATGTATGTATGTATGTATGTATGTATGTATGCATGTATATGATTTCCAAGCCCCTCACACTCGGGCTTGTCAATGCCTTCCTTAAAGTGGGGTCACTCAGGGCCTCTAAACGTCATCTAAGCGAGACAACAGCGGGAACATCCCTCATCCAGGTCTCACTGGACTTTTGCCAATGAAGACTGGAGGCTGTTTTTGCCTGACCCCCATACCATTATACACTCAGCTCACATGGATAACCCTTAAGGTGAGCTATCATCTCTGGGTTGTCGTTTTCTTCCCCCACAAAACTATGATTTAGCAGCATCTCCCCACAGAGGGGCACCTTTCCTTTGGGCTAAGAAATTTTGTGTCCCCCCCCCCCCCCCCAGAGTCCTCTACCAAAGCGCAAATATTCTGAGAAGCCACTATTAGTCATTAACACCACAACTTATTTCACTAGTGGTAACAAACCTGTAACCTAAAAAGGCTCTGAGAAAGAGGACCGAGTACAAGAGGGTTAGGTTTTGATGAGGAAGAGAATCCTAAATCATTCTCAGGAAGGACAGGGAAGGACCCTCCCACTCATATCCTCTACAAGGTTAAGAAGATCTTATAATCTACGCAGGGGTGAGAACAGCCTTTGGGAGACAAATCTCAAAGGCCAGATTGGGAAAGAAAGAGACGCTTTCACCGAGAGCCACCGAAGATTTCATTTCCCCTCCTACCTCAGTTCAGGGTCCCAGGGCCAGGCTGGTGGTCGGCCCAAGTCACCTCTCTGCCTGACATCTGCGGGGGGCTCCTCCCCTCAGGCCTTCCAGGGTTCCAGGTCCCTAACAGGCTGGAGTGAGAGCTCCATTTCCCCCACACAGTCCCCGCTCCTTTGTGACTTCACACGCTGAAGTCACTCCGGAGACAATGCCGAGCGTTCTACCTCCAACCAGCTCCAGGCCCAACCTGCTCAGAGAACTGTCCCGCAGTGCCAATAAGGGCGCTGCTGGCCTATGTGGGGAAGGGTCATGCAGATAGCAGCGTCAGAAGCACGCGCCACTTCCAGTACTATGGATGATGCTGCTGTCCTTAAGAGAAGAGGCTACATCATGGGAATAAATCTGGGAGAGGGCTCGTATGCAAAAGTGAAATCTGCTTACTCTGAGCGCCTGAAGTTCAACGTGGCGGTCAAGATCATAGACCGGAAGAAAGCCCCCACTGATTTCTTAGAGAAATTCCTGCCCCGGGAGATCGAGATCCTGGCAATGCTCAACCACCGTTCCATCGTCAAGACCTACGAGATCTTCGAGACGTCCGACGGCAAGGTCTACATCATCATGGAGCTCGGGGTCCAAGGAGACCTCCTGGAGTTCATCAAGACCCGGGGCGCCCTGCACGAAGACGACGCCCGGAAGAAGTTCCACCAGCTCTCCTCGGCCGTCAAGTACTGCCACGACCTGGACGTGGTCCACCGTGACCTCAAGTGCGAGAACCTCCTCCTGGACAAAGACTTCAACATCAAGCTGTCCGACTTCGGGTTCTCCAAGCGCTGCGTTCGGGACGACGGCGGCCACATCACGCTCAGCAAAACCTTCTGCGGGTCGGCGGCCTACGCGGCCCCCGAGGTGCTCCAGGGCATCCCCTACCAGCCCAAGGTGTATGACATCTGGAGCCTGGGCGTGATTCTCTACATCATGGTCTGCGGCTCCATGCCCTATGACGACTCCAACATCAAGAAGATGCTGCGTATCCAGAAGGAGCACCGCGTCAACTTCCCCCGCTCCAAGCACCTGACGGGCGAGTGCAAGGACCTCATCTACCGCATGCTGCAGCCCGACGTCAGCCGGCGGCTGCACATCGACGAGATCCTCAGCCACTGCTGGGTGCAGCAGAGCAAGGCCAAGGCGCAGCAGCCCTCCACCTCCTCCAAGGAGTGGGAGAGCTCCCGCGGGGGGAAGGACACGCTCAAGGTCCCAGAGCTGCGCCCAGAGAAGAAGTCGGCCACCAAGGTGGAAATAAAGGAGGAGCCCAGGTCGGAGGCGCTCCCGGAGAAGGAAGAGCCGGTGCAGGTGATGAGGCAGTCGCAGACCCTGGGCTTCAACTCGGACGAGCCGGCCGCTGAGACCAAGCAAGGGGACCCCTCACCGGCTCCAGAGACCGTGCACACCTAAGGAGGCTGAGCGGGCCCCCGGGGGCCCGAGAAAGAGAGGAACGGAGCCCGAGGTTCAGCTCGGAGCGCGGATGGGAGAGGTCAGGAGCGTGCAGGAGAAAGTAAACACGGTCCATTATAAGCTGCTATTTTCATTAATTCCTCTTCCCTTGCTTCGAACACAGCAACCACATGGCTAAAGAATAAACCAATAAATCATAGACTATATTAAAACCCAAATCTGGCAAGAGTATTCTTCCCCCTGCCCGCCCCCTCCCTGCGCTGGACGTCCAGCAGGGAGGGACCACAGCCCGAGGGGAGGTCGAAACGGGCAAAGACAGCCAGATGGGGAGTTGGAGGACCCCGAGTTCAAATCCTGGCTCTGGCACTTACTAGCCGGGTGACTTTAGACAAGTCAATTCTCCTCGGCGGACCTCAGCTGCTTCCTCTGGAAAATGAGACAGGTTGTTGAATAAGCTAGTCTCTGGTCCCTCCCGGTTTTAAATCCTTGTGAACCCCCACTGAAGGAGCTCCCAGGCAGCTGTCTTCCATCCCTCTGGTGACCTCCCCAGAGCCCCGGGTCAGGAGGCCTCTGCTCCACGTCCTGTGCACAGGCAGGCCAAGACCACACTCATCCTCCCTGGGATCTTGCCCTTGATCTCGCCCCACCACGAACCCCCTCCCACTTTAGGGCCTTTAGCCCAGGGGAAGTCCCCAGTGCCTGGCAGCTCTGACTAGGACACTTTTCACTGCCGAAGCAGAGAAGGGGGAAAGAAGGAAGGAGAGAGGGAGGGAGGGAGTGAAGAAGGTGATTCTAAGCAATGGCTTTAGAATCAGAAGGCCTTGGTTTGTAGCCCAGGTCGGAAACCACCTGTGTGGCCTGGGCAGATCACTCAAGCGCCCTGGACTTTCCTTCCTTCACTGCCATAGCTCTAAATCCTGGATTCCTCCCCGACCCCTACCTTTTCTGATCCCTTGCTCTACGGCCTTGAACAAGACCTTGGCCATCTCTGGGCCTCACTCTCCTTATAGCTAAAATAGAGATGATAAAGTTTGCCTTCCTTGCCTTTGTGAGGATAAAGAAAAGAACAGGTAGAAGACGACCATGGTAAATGTCTCATAGGCTAGGCAGAGAGGGGGCCGTGATGAGAGATGGGCGAGGTCAGAAGCAGGAAGGGGCATCTGGGAGACCAGGGCAGGATTTGGAAATCACAGCCCCTGAGAGTACCTGAACCCTCCCCTGGCCCAGGCCACCTGACTTTCTCGTCTGCAAGGGGGGATTCTTGGCATGAGAAATATATATGGTTCCAAAATGTCACCCCATTTGTGCCCTGTTAGTGTTAGCTCCCCAAGTCCTAGATACAGGGATGTCCATCCCTGGGAAGCCTAGGCTGAGTCCTACCTTCGACTGGGCTCGTCGGCTTAAGCTGGGAACCACAGGCCAGGAGGCAAGTGGGAAGACATTAGGAATCCCAGGCCATACTGAGTTTGGCCAGCCTGGGCTCACAGAATCACAGGATCCTGGTGAAAAGGGTCAGAATGCTATTACTCCCTGCCCAGGTAACCTAAGGCAAGCCCCCTCTCCGGGACTGTTTTCCCACATACAAGATGAGGGGGCTGGACAACACGGTCGCCAAGGCCCCTCCGGCTCTAAATTCTCTCTGATCTGATGAACCTCAACCAGAAGAGGCCTCAGCAGCCTTCCAGCCCAAGCTCCCAACCCCAGGTAGGAATTCCCTCTGTGGTCACCCCAATAGTGAGTCAACCACCAAGCCTCTGATGTGGGAGGTCACTCAGCTAGATCTCTGGTGACCCCTTAAGAAAGCCCAGAAATGTTTAGAAACCAAAACTTGTCAGACCCCTAGGTGTTAAGTCGTTCTGCAAACCAAGCCCCCTCACTTCACTGAGCTCGTGGCTTGCTGTGCATCAGAATCTCCCACTAGAGGCAGGATATACTCAGAGGATGTGCTTTGTGTGGCACACAGAAAGGAGAAGGGACAGGCAAGCGTCCAGTGAGCCTGGCTCCCAGCTGCAGGCCTCCCTACCCCATCCTAATCTGGCTCCCTACCCATCCTGTCCACACACTGACATTCCCATTATAAAAACTGGGCCTTCTTGGCTCTCCCCAGTCTCTGACTGGCTTTCCCAGGATACAGAACAGGAGATTCTGAAAGGGATGCAACCAACCGTCCCATCTTGCTCTGGTTCGAGAGGCCAGGATGATTGAGCTAGACTTTGAACCACCAGACCCTCCATGCCAGGAGGCCCACCATGCCCAGCTCTAAGCTCAGCCTGGGAGCACAGCGGGACTTCTAGCATAGGCTGTCCAGCTTCCTGTCCCCAGTTACCTGGCCCACAGCTCACATCATCCCTGGGGAAATAGGGATTCCCAATGACGCACTGCTGTGGCCAGAGCCTGGCTGGCCCTGGGCATCTCCAGCCCCATTCGGGGCTAGGCGATGGTCCTTCAGAAGAAAAGCAGAGTTGATGCTGAGGGAGCTGAGCCCAATGGACCTGAGGAGGGTGGTCTCCATCCACCAGGCTCAGAGACGAGTCCACAATGTAGCCGAAGGTTGTTGTAGAAAAAATTAGACCCGAAATCCTAGGCCCGGGGCCCAGCTTCCCTCTTACCTGAAACAGTCACAACCTCCTGGGCCTCAGTTTCCTCACCTGTAAAACGAAAGGGCTGGACCGGACGGTCTCTACGTTCCTTCCAGCTCCACACCTAGAACTGATGTGAAAGACTTTGCAAGGATCGCAGCGTGATGGCAACACCAGTGATGACTTTTTTTTTTCTTCTCCTCTCTAAGCCTCAACCTCCCCCCCGTAAAATGAAAGTAACAACTCACACCAGCATAGTCTACCTCACGGGACTATCATACAGAAAGCACTTGGCGTACCTCAGAACACAAAAGAAACGGGAATTGAAATCACCGATCCCTGCCTCTCCCAAGACCCTCGATCCCAAACCTGGGGCCAGGAGAGAGGAAAGGATCTACTGGTGTTATCCAGTCCCGACTGGGCCCTCATTACTGGAAGGCAGTTACTGTATTCCCTCCCTAAGTGACCGTCCATCCCCCCTCCCCAGAGCTGCTGTTCCAAGCCTTCTCTCATCTCCTCAGCTGAGGACCTTTCTTCACATTTGCTGAGAAAACTGAGGGAATCTGCCATGGGCTCTCTCTGCTCCCTTGTCTTCATCTCCAAACTCCCTGACATTTTGCACTCCCTCTATTCCAGTTTCTGATGAAGCGGTGGCACCCTTCTCACCAAAGCCAGCCCTTCTCCATGTACCCTGGTTAACACCCCTTCTCATCTCCTCCAGGAGGGACTCCCACGACCCTGCCTTCTTTTTCCCTGATCTTAGATCTCTTCCTGTCTACTGGTTCCTTCTCTGCCACCTAGCCTTAAAAAAAAAAAGTTTTTTCACTTGATCCTATAACATCCCTTCAAGCGGTCATCTTCCATCTTCTTCCCTTCCGTAACCTCCTACGAAAAGCTGCCTCTGCTTTCTGTCCACACACTCACTTCTTCACCCTTTGCAATCTAGCTTCCAACTTGGCCACTCAACCAAAACTATTCTCTCCGACGTGACCCATAACCTCCCGATTGCCCGATCTGCTGCCTTCCCAATCTCCGTCTTTCTTGACCATCTCAAAAAGGTCAGGTGACTGCCGGCTCCTAAGTCCTTCTCTGCATTTCCATGACACTGCTCTCTCCTGCTTCTCCAACCTGGATGACAGGGCCTCCTCAGTCTCCTCTGGTGGATTACCATCCATAACCCATTCTCTTCACAACACTCTGTCCCGGGCCCCCATTTCTCTCTACGTTCTGTCTCACATTGACCTCGTCAATTCCAGGGGAGTTAAGGATTTATCTTTATGCAGACAACCCCTAAGAGCTAGCCCCACATTGCCAACTAACAGCCTGGTGGATATTTTCCACTCAATATCCCATAGACAATTCGAACTCTGTGCCTCTTGCACCTGTCCCCCTTCTCTGGTCACACAGCCATCACCTCTCACCCAGCCCACTCTAAAAGCCTGATTAGCCTCCTTGTGTTAAGTCTATCCCTTCACCAGGCCCTCCTCACCTCTGCCTCTGAGAGAGCTGAGTTTCCTTTCCTTCAAAGCTCAGCACACCTTTCCTGATTCTCCCCCACAAAATGTTCTCGTATTTATAGATTCGGTTTGTACATACTTTGTATGTGCTTATGTATTGGTACACATCGGCTGTCTCAATAAAATATAAGCTCTTTGCGGGCAAGACTGTTGTTTTTGTATTTGGATCAATAGTATCCAGTAGGCACTTAATAAATGAAATGCTCCCTTTTATCCTAGACCCTGGAGAAGAAAGAAGAGGATAGCCCTCCTAAGCCTCCCCTAAAGCATTCTGCATCCCCTCTTCTCACCTCTGTGTTCCAAGAGTTCAAAAAGGCATAACAAGCCTGAAGGAAGCCAACCCCACCCTCTTACTCTTAGGGGATCCCCTAAGGGGGTCACGTCGGAGAGAGTAGTTTTGGTTGAGTGGCCAAGTTGGAAGCTAGATTGCAAAGGGAGGAGAAATTAGTGTGTGGACAGGAAGTGGAGGCAGCTTTTCGTAGGAGGTTAGGGAAGGGATGTTATAGGATCAAGTGAAAAAACTTTTTTTTTTTTTAAGGCTAGGTAGCAGAGAAGGAACCAGTAGACAGCTAAGGGGCAGACGGCTAAAGCCAGAGGATCCTTCCTGGCCCCAAGAGCACCATGTTCCTGGAGGTCTCTGACTTCAAGCCAAGAGGCCTGACCCACCCAAACAAGGACCAGGACCTCAGAGCCCCACCGTATTAACATTTCCTGGAGAAGAAAAAAATCAAAGAGGGTAAAACTGCCTTTAAGCTTCTAAAGGATGATCACAGCCTCAGACACATAACACTTACGAGCTGTGTGACCTAGGACAAGTCACTTAACCCCACTGCCTAGCAAAATAAAAAAAATAATAATCTAAAGGATGATCAATGGGAAAAGACATTAGCCTTGTTCTGCTGGGTCCAGAGGGGAAAACCCAGAGTAACAAATCTAAGCTGTGGAGACACAGGTTCAGGCTGGACGTGAGGAAAAACTTCCAAATAATAGGAGCTGGAGCAAGCTGCCCAGCAAGGTAGCGTGTTTCCTCTCACTGGAGGTCTCCACACCCCATCTGGGTGACCCCTCGTCTGAGATAGTGTCAAGAACTGGTCAGGTTGGTTGAATTATATACCCACCAAGATCCTTCCTAGCGTTAAGAAATCTGTGGTTCCTCCTTCCGTTTCCCAGAAGGGATCCCAGCACCCTGCATGTGCCTCAGAACATGACCTTCCTACCTACCGAGGAAGGGCTCATCTGAGAGGCAGTATGGCCCAATGAAAAGAACAAAGATCAGGAGGCCTCGTTTTGACACCAACTTGATACAAGTGTGAATATGCCTCTTCCCCTTCTTTGGCCGCAGCCTACCCCTCTGTGAAGTGAGGGAGCTGGACTCAGTGTGTACTGGGTCCATTCCAACGTTACTGTTCCACAGGTAGGGGCTGGCAGTTCAGCGTTGAATCAGGTCCAAGCCATCCTTGAAGAGGAATGCTCCCAACACCTCCCACTGGTCATCCTGTCTCTGATCGCACATCTCCTGAAAACTTGCCCTCAGTGCTCCTTGTTCTGCTCCCTAAGGCCCAACAGAACTAATCTAAACCCTCCTCCATATGACAGCTATCACCTCATTCCCTGTGTCTGCTTATCCAGCTAAATAGCCCTCATTCCTTCCAGACATCCTCAGATGGCTCGGTCTCCTGCCCTGCTGCATACACCCCAGTGAGTCAATGTCTTTCCTTGAATGTGGTGTCCAACCAAGGCTGACCACAGTACTCCAGATGGAATCTGCCAAGGGCAGAGGGACAGTCACCTCCTGTTTTCCAGATACTGTTCCTCTCAATATAAAAAAGATTGCATTAGCTATTTTGTTGGGGGACTGACAGGTGGAACTTACTCACTGAAACCCCTATATATTTCACTATCTTCTACCTGATCTCCCTGGAGGGTTGAGCCCAATTGTCTATCTCTACCCTTCCTGAAGACAGTTGCTCATGAAACTCCAGCAAGGTACACCTTATCCCAGGGCCTGGACCCAACAGATTGCTAGTTAAGCACACAGGACGTTCAACAAGCCATCCTTAGCAAAATAGACATTTCTCTTCCATAGGCACTGTCATTAGCTCCCCTCCACCCCCACTCCTAATCTTGGCCCTAATCCTTCTAATCCCTATGCTGGAGGAATTATAGCTCATAGCTCAAAGGGCTGAGAACTGAAAGGGGCCATAGATCCCAGCCCAGCTCCTCTGGAAGCCTACCTCACCCCAAATATCCATCCTCATGCACAAACCCTCCAACCAGTTCTCCATTCAGTGTTTGACCTCCACAGTCCCCTCTGCTCATCATCACTCAGTCCCTTTTCTCCCAGATATCCAAAAGCTTCCTCAACTCAACTATTACCCAGTTCTCTGACCAGGATGGCTTCCCCATTAGAAATCAGTACAATTAATTACAAGGACATAAAAGTTACAAAGACATCAGCCTAACTTGGGAGAAAAAGCACAGGGTTTGAAGTCGGGAGGACCTACATTCAATCCTGCCTCTGACACCTCTGACCCAGGCAAGTCACATAACATCTCAGTGGCCCCCAGTCACTCTCTAAGGGTGTAAGTTATAAATGAGCAACCAGTCAGCACTGGTGAAAGGAGCTTCCACATTAGGATTTCCCTACACCTATGAAATCACAGACCAAAAAATATCCAGGAATAATACCCTTAGAAACATCCTGACTGCCATTACAAAGCAAGTTTGAAGAGGACAGTCTTCCTTTCCCCTACCACACAAGGGTAACCTTGAGCTCTCAAAGGCTACGTGAAGAGAGGACTGACTAATCTAGCAAGACTCTGAGTCTGGGTCCTGTGTTGAACAGTGCCCCTTCCATCCAAAGACCAGCCCACCCAAGTCTGGATAGTATTATCAGCAGAGGCCTGGATGCAGCTGCTCAGTCCATCCTCAGCCAAGTCGAGGAGGGGGTCTCTCTCTGCTCTGGGTCACTGCAGTGAGCTCCTGTGAGGAGTAACCATAGATCCTTAAGTCATCTTTGCGCCACCTCCCTCAAAGGCTTGTTTGAAAGACACACTTGTATGTACCGCAGCCTTCTAGAAATGGGAGCTGTTAGGAGAATCCTGATCCAGGGCCTCCCTCACCTCCCTCTAACTGCTCTCTCTCCCCTCCTCCATTCCATCTGTCCTTCCCTTGCTCAAGCACTTCAGGCAAACCCACTAACTACAGGATGAAGCCCAAACGCTCGTCTGGCCTTCAAGGCCTTTCACGATTTGGCTCCAACCAACCATTCCAGCCTTATCTTAATAAGTCAATCAACAAGCATTTATTAAGTACCTACCGTTTGCCAGACCATGGACTAGGTACTGAGGATAAGAAGACAGACATTAAACAGTCCCAGGCCTAGAAAGTCAGCCAGACCATCTCACTCACTAATCCCCTACACATGACCACGTGCATTCCCTCCCCCAAGACTTTGTTCAAGCTGTTCCTTCATGAAGAGGATTCACCTCTCTTTCCTACTGAAATCTTCCCATTCTTCCAGGACCAGCTTAACTCCTCCCTGCCGGCCTTCCCCTCCCCACCCCCCCAACCCCACCCCAGGTGTCTGCTTGGGAAGTATGTGCAACAATTCACAAATGCAGGCTATATCAAAGTTAGGAGGAAAGCCAGGCTAGGGGAAGGATGGCTTTATGGCCCCCACTTCTCCCACTGAGGAAGAGGGTTCCCATCCCAGATAATAGAAACATAAATATTTTGGTTCTTTGTAAACCTTTGATAGCAACACTATCCAAAATGTATACACACACTCTTCCAAAGACAAGGACAAGAGGTCTTTGATCTGAGGGCCTCACCTAGGAGTTGCCCAGTTAAATTTGGGTCCTAGCCCCAGGCCTGCTCCAAGTTCTTGCACTACATTCACGGTTCTCCTCTCTCCCTCCTTTCTACTTGCACCAGAAGCCCCAGGCACCAACCATTTCTCCCCCAAACATCTGGCCAGGGTAGAAAACTTGTTCCCAGACTTCCAGTGATCGAAACAATACATGTAGCCAAGTCCAATAACCGTCTCTGCAGGCAAAGCCAGGCATCTTCATGGAGGGAGCTAATGCTTTGCATGTTTTCACATTCAAAAGAAATCAAACAAATTCACCTTGAGTGGGACAAAGCCAAACGCCCAGTCCCAGAGTCAAAGCCCGCACTGTGCGAGCAAGGCAGACATTAGACATCCCACCTGTCATTCTGTCCTGGCCACAGGCCACCTTTCCTGACTGGCAGAACTCTGGGAAAGAATCCATTCTGATGGACAAGTTGCCCAGGCACATCTTGGTTAAGAGAAAAAAAGAGGGGAAGTTACCAGCATCCTGGGGTGGGGGGAGGGGGGTGCCCCTTGCTGCTAGCCTTCCAGGGTTCCAGATGCCCCACAGCCTCAGGGCGAAAGCCCCATTCCCCCCGGCCCAGTTCCCCCCTCTTGGCAGCTTCGCTTTGTGACTTCACACGCTGAAGTCACTCCAGAGACAATGCCGAGCGTTCTACCTCCAACAAACTCCAGGCCCAGCCTGCTCAGAGGACTCTCCCGCAGTGTAAACGAGGACACTGGTGGCCCACGTGGGGAGGGGATGTAGATAACAGCGTCAGAGGCATCGGTTGCTTCTGGCACCATGGACGATGCCACAGTCCTAAGGAAGAAGGGTTACATCGTTGGGATCAATTTAGGGAAAGGCTCTTACGCCAAAGTGAAATCCGCTTACTCTGAGCGCCTGAAGTTCAATGTGGCGGTCAAGATCATCGACCGCAAAAAAACACCCACTGACTTTGCGGAGCGATTCCTGCCCCGGGAGATGGACATCTTAGCTACGGTCAACCATCGCTCCATCATCAAGACCTACGAGATCTTCGAAACATCCGATGGGAGGATCTACATCGTCATGGAGCTCGGGGTCCAAGGAGACCTCCTAGAGTTCATTAAATGCCGGGGCGCCCTGCACGAAGACGTGGCCCGTAAGATGTTCCGCCAGCTCTCCTCGGCCGTCAAGTACTGCCACGACCTGGACGTGGTCCACCGTGACCTCAAGTGCGAGAACCTCCTCCTGGACAAAGACTTCAACATCAAGCTGTCCGACTTCGGGTTCTCCAAGCGCTGCGTTCGGGATGGAAGCGGGAGGATCATCCTCAGCAAAACCTTCTGCGGGTCGGCGGCCTACGCGGCCCCCGAGGTGCTCCAGGGCATCCCCTACCAGCCCAAGGTGTATGACATCTGGAGCCTGGGCGTGATTCTCTACATCATGGTCTGCGGCTCCATGCCCTACGACGACTCCGACATCAAGAAGATGCTGCGTATCCAGAAGGAGCACCGCGTAGACTTCCCCCGCTCCAAGACCCTGACGGGCGAGTGCAAGGACCTCATCTACCGCATCTTACAGCCCGATGTCAACCGGCGGCTGCACATCGACGAGATCCTCAGCCATTCCTGGATGCAGCCGCCCAAGCCCAGAGTCACGCCCTTGGCCTCCTTCAAGCAGGAAGGGGAGGGTAAATACAGGGCTGAGTATAAGCAGCTGGACGCCAGGCCGGCCACCAAGCAAGAACACAGACCTGACCACAAGCTGGGAGCCAAGACCCAGCACAGGCTGCTGGTGGTCCCCGAGAATGAGGAGACCAGGCCTGAAGAGCGGCTGGCTGAGACATCCAGAAACAAAGACCATCTGCAAGGATCTGAGGTGGGGAAAGCTCATGGCTAGAGGCGGCCGGCCTTCCTGCCCCTCTCCCCCAGGGTAGTCTCTGTCGCGTAGCTTCCGTACAAGTAGCTAAGTAGGCAGGTGGGAACAGAAGAAGAAGGCACAGGTGCAAGGACAAAGTAAAATCTGTCAATTAAACCACTATTTTGATTACATTCTATAGCTTTCTTCCCACTCAGTAGCGGAGATACTACTTGCTAATCACCAAATAAATCACAAAGTCTTTACAAGTGCAAACAATGCACCGTGAGGAGTCTTTTTCTCTAGGATGTGGGTGGCGGCAGGGCCAAGGGGCCTTACCCACACTCCCCAAGGTGGGGCTGGGGTGGGAGTCTGCTCAGACAGGGTCCTGGGGGGCAAGTGGTGCCTGCAGAGAAGTGGGCGAAGGCGGGTGTCTACACGACTAGGGAGCTCCCCGGAGGTCAGATCCCAGGATCCAGAGAGAGCCACCCACCCTAGGCATCTTTGTATTCTGCCCTCAACTCTAGTATCCCATTCCAAGAGGCCTGGGAGATGCCCCCAGTATCAAACCAAGCTCATCAGCTTCCAAAAAAGCTTCCTTTCCTTCCAGCATTTGGTTCAATTCAACAAGCGACTGATTAAATAAGTCGCTGCTGTGGGCTAGGTCTAGAATTCTGGACCTGGAGTCAGCAGACCTGAATTCAAATCCAGCCTATGGCACTTACGAGCTACATGACAACAGGCAAGTTATTCTCAGGCCCTCAGTCCTCCATATCCATAAAACAGGGATAATACTTATCACATAGTGTGGTTCTGATGCTTCAACGAAATGATTTCCATAACGCACTTTGGAAGCTTGAGAGTGCTGGATAAATGTAAATTATTACTATTAACTACTAGGGGAACAAGATACCGAGAATTTAAAAAAAAAAAAAAAAAAGGAAGCTACAAGGCCAACTATGACAGGGCCCAAGGAAATAGCCCACCATTGTGTTCTAGGAGCATTTCAGGAGCAGCCAGGGAAATGAGGGAAAATGGCTTTGAAGGCTCAGGGTGTGAACTGAGCCTGGATGATGAAGGGGCCTGGGTCTAAGACAAAGAGAAGTAAATTTCAGGAACAGGAATCAGCCCGTCAGAAGGCAATGGCAGAAGGAGGGAGGCACCACGCCCGTTTCCACCCTGTCTCTCACACCCATCCTTCTCTACCCCCAGAAGTGCCACTCTGGTCCATGCTGCCATCACACTGATAGGATGACCTTTCTTAGGTGCAGCGCTGAGCAGGGACCTCCCCTCTCTAAACCCTTCCTGGATCCCTATTACCGTGGTCCTACAGGGAATGCCATTCCCCCTGAGCCAAATGCCACCTGTCCTTCCAAACCCAGCTCAGCAGCCCCCCTCCATGAAGTCTTTCCTGACCACGTCACTGCAAAGTGTCCTACCCTTCTCTCAGTCCATATTAACCACTTCCTTTCTATTCCACTCACTTAACAGCAACCGAAAACATAGATTTAGGAGGGGGAAGCACTTTAGAAACCACACCAATTAACTTCCTTATACAAACAGGAAAACAAAAACCTAAAGTGGGGAGGTTTTCCCAAGGTCACCCAGACAGTAAATAGCAGTCAGGATTCCAACCCAGATCCAGCTTCCAAAGGCACTCTTCCTCACTGGTATCTGGCCATGTCTATCCCCTATGGTGCTTTATTCATCATCAACTCTACAAATACACATTGAATGAAGACTAGTCTTACCCTAGTAAAGAAAATGAACCCTTGGAAACTCCCCACCCCCTCCCCCAGGAGACCACCCCCCTGGTTCCCAAAGAGCTTTGGGGGCAACTGCTGCTGTAACAAAACACAACCCAACTGGGATCATCGCCCGCACACTCTTCTTCTGTCGGCCAAGCCCGTGGGTCTAAGGTACCTGCGTTTGTCACTGGCTGAGGTGTTGACAAATGGGAAGTGGCTGCTCCCTCCCCGTTTACATGGTCGGGAGACCTGGGTTGCACTCAGACATTTATTCAACAATAGACTTTGGCCAAGTCACCGCCCTCTCTGGGCTTTAGTTTTCCCCTCTTCCAAATGGAGATGAGGGTAACTGCACTGCCCACCCCATAGGGTGGTGAGCTGTAAATGAGATAACACAACTAGGGGGACTCCAGTTGTCTTCAACCCCCCAGAGGTCTTCAAACAACAGCTGGATGTCCAACAGTTTGGGGGGGGGGAGTCTAAGGGAGGAAGGGGGGTAGACTCTTTTCAGGGATGGCTTGGAGTTTTTAGACAAAATAATATAAAACTGAGGCAACACAGAATGTCCGTCTTCAAGCATTTAGAAGGTTCTTAGCAGGCCATTTCGGCTTTGTTCTGCCTGCCTCCAGAGGATAAACTACGAGCAGTGGGGGGAATGGGGAAGCGGATGCCAAGAGACATATTTAGGCTGGAGGCAACGAATAGCCTTTTAACAATCCCAACTCCCCAAAAGCGGCTACCTGCCTCAGGAAGCGATGGATTCATCTCCACTGGAGGTGTTCAAGCAAGGACTGAAGGACCAATCATTCAAAGTCAGGGACTCTACAGGGGCCCTCAGCTCAGGCAAGCAAGGACTAAACGTCCTCTCGGGTCCTTCCCAACTCTGAGACTCTAAGATGACTCTACTGACCCAAACTTAGAAAAGAAGCCCCTGCCCTCGGCCTCCCCGGACACAGGAGTATGTCACGAAGGCCACAGCTCCAGCTTGGGGAGAATGGACAGGGAGGCTCAGAGAGACAGAAGAGCAATGGAGGACATTGGCGGACCCGCTTCTAGGCCTAGAGGGACCAGTGCCCAAGGAGTGTCCTGAGAGGGCACCTCGGCCAAACTCGTCATTGCACAAACGGGCAACGTGGGAGGCCACAACTCAAGCTCCAAGCAGAGCAAGCCTAGGCCTGCCCAGAAAAGGACGGAGAATGCTGAGACTGGTGGGAAGATCGGCACACCCAGGCTCAAAAAGCCCAGTTCAAGTATTGGCCATGACCTTTTATCAGCTACGTGATCCTGAGCCAGTCCAGTCCACTCTCAATCTGCTTCCTTCTCTGTAAAATGGGGAGAATAATCACGTACACTCTCACAGAGGGAAGATAAAGGACTTTTAGAAAACCACCCGGTAAAGTGTAATTTTGTGCTACAGGCATGTGAAAACAAACCAGAACATCTCAGAGGCACACACCCAAGTTTCTGATGAAATCTTTCTGGGCAAGGTGGGGTGGCATGGGCTGAGTGATAAGCCCTGGAAGGACGGTGTTGGTCTCCCAGCCTGAGTGACTTCCCGTCTCTCTCTCTGCACCAACCGTTGCAGGCCTAAGGTCTCAGGAGTGGGACCAGAGCAAGCAAACATGGTGAGAGCCTACAGCATGAGACTGGGAGCCACTGCACTTTTTCTGTGAAAGAGCTCAGGGGCCTTACAAGGACCCTCCTCAGCTCCCCACGCTCTTCCCAAGCAGCCAGCCAGCCTGTGCTCGCAGACCTCCCCAAGTCACTACCTCCACTCGGAGAGAGCTCCCCGTATGAAACCTCCACCTGCCTCCGTGACTTCTACTCACTGCCCCTGGGCCTGCCCTCCAGAATGAGTCTCAGCCCTCTTTCCAGGTGACAGTCGTAATGACCGAAGAAGACGGGGCCTGGAGCCCCAGCTCGGATTCTTTAAGCCAGAGCACCAAAGGAATGTGAATTGCTGCTATCCTCCAACTCATCCCCACGACTCGACTGCACAGGTGGGCGTGACTACAAAACCTGCTGAAGACACGAAGCTGAGACGGCCAACGACCGAGGCAAGGTCCACAAAAGATCTCAAGAGGCTAAGACGGCATTTAATGGTCCAGTCCTATGTGTGGGCTCATACAGTTTAGACCCCGATACAGAATGGAAACAATGCTGGGAAGGGGATACTAGGTCGGGCTGGGGTCTCCCTTTCCCGGGCCCTTTGCCAAATCCCCTAGAGGAGGCCCAGGTTCTGGGACCCAAAAACCAGGCCAACAGCTCCGACCTAGCGTTTTCCCCCCACGAAGGCAAGCATTCACGTCCCGATTTTAGGGAGAGAGGAAGTGCTAAGAGATGTGCTCAGTGTCACCCCCAGGAGACCCGAGGTCACCCTCACCCAGATCCAGGCCCGCCGAGCCCTGCCTGGCCACATGGCCGACCCAGGTGAGGGGAGGGGCTGTGCAGCCAGACAGGGACGGGAACCCAGGGAAGCTTTGGTTCAGCTTTTAGTTGAGCCTGACCAAGTGCCCGGCCTGTAGCTGGGTGCAGGCGTGGCCCCTCCACGGGGGCATTTCCATCCCACCTGACAAAGCGTTCTGCTGCCCCAAGGGTCCCATGGCCAGGGAGGGCTGCGCTTTGCCCCGGGCCCCCACTGCAGGGTCCTCAGAAGAAGTCCGATGCTTTCCGTCGCTTGGGGAGCTGCAGGAGGTTGTCGGTGATGGAGGCAGGGTCCTGGGTCAGAGGAGTCCTCGTGGTAGTGCCGGGGGCAGGAGTGCCCGTGGGAGTCTGAGGACCGCCCGCAGGCGTCTTGTAGCCAGGGTGAACCGGGGATGGCGTGTAGCTGGCCCGCAGGGCCTTGTCGGTGTATTTGCTGGCGGTCCTGTTGACAAGGCGCTGCAGGGCTGGGGACATGGCTGGACTCAGGCCTTTGGGAGTGAGGCTGCGACAGAGGGAAGGAGACAAGGCACAGACACTTAGGAGCCTCCAGGCCAGCAGCCACAACGGGATCCCAGGGCACAGAGCCCGCGGGGTCTGGCTCGGACATAAGCTACCTCGTGCCCCCCTTGTTCGAGACAAAGCAGAGGCCAGAGATTCATGACCCTGGGTGGGATGAGGCTCCGTGCCACCCCGGGAGCCCCGAGGGCCCAGGGCTTCTGCCGGGACAGGGCCACCCTAGTCTCCCCAAGGCCTCTGCCAACCCAGGGGCACAATCTTTCTCCCAAAATGAAAAGGCTCATGGGTCGGCTCAAGGAGGCGACACACAAGTGTGGGAGAAGTGAGCAACGGTTCCAATGCGGCGGGCGCCCAAGACCCGAGGGGGTGAGTACGCTTCCTGCCACACCGAGGACGGTAATCAAATCCATGGAGAACCATCCTGGCCGCTTGCCTTTTGATCCGAGGGAGGGTCAAGGCCTCGGCCCCCTCAGAGACAGGGTCGCCCTCGTGCCTCTGGATCCCTGTGGGATGGACCTCCCTCCCTGCTTTCTAGCCTCATGAGCTCTCCTCCTGCTGCCCACAGAGACAGCCAGGGCAGGGGCATCTTGCCTGCTCCCCGTCTCCACGCAAACCCTCCTGCTTTAATCACTTCCCGGAGTCCCAGAGGTGCTGAGAGGCTGGGAAGGGGGCCCAGGGCAGCTGCTCCAAAGGTCCCTCCTGGTCAGAGGGGAAGCCAGAGAACTCGAGCTCTGCCAGCAAGGCAGCCAGGGCACACCTAGCACATACACTGTTGGAGGCCACAGCATGGGCTGACTGCCTCCGAGGAGCTATTTTTTTCTCTTTCTTTTCTAATCTCTGTTGTAAGGGATGGCTCACTGGATAGAGGGGAGGGGAAGGAAATGTTCACAAATAAATGTGATATACCCACAAAAGGCTTCAGTAAAATTTTAGAAGAAGGCTAGACTAGATGATAAGATCTGAGTTTGAATCCTGCCTCCACCACTTAGTACCTGTGACTTAGGGCAGGCCCTTTCAGGTCCCTGGACCTCAGTTTCCCCATCTGTAAAATGGGGCAGTTGTGCTAAGAGATCTTTCCCTTCCAGATCTACACTCGGCAATTTTGAGACAGTAGACTAGGGGCCAGACCCTCTGCGGCAGTCCCCCTTGCCCCACCCTGCCCCGCCCTGCCCTGAGAGAGGGACAGATGGAGCCTCACCTGGCCAGGTTCTCCGTGACTCTTCTTAGGGCCTCTTGTTTCTTGGCTCGGTTCTTGGCAGCTGCCTCAGTGGCCATCTTGAGACCTAACCTCTCTCTGCGTCCAGGCTCCAGGATCTGGAGAGACAGCGGGCCAGGTAAGGGTCTGAAAAAGGGCCCCAAAGCACCAGGCCATGCGTCCGCAGACGTGGCCTCACCCCTCCCACATTCTGCCAACAGCCACGCCCCACTTGGTCCCTGGACCCAGGCTGCTGGCCGAGGAGACCGGCACAGACTCGCCACTGTGCACCAAGGGTTGGACGCAAGGGGCCCTCCCAGCACAGGCCTAGGGGCTTTCAGCCAAACTGGATGATTCACTCTGTGCTGGCCCATCTGGATCACCAACACGGCAAATGCCTGTCCTGTCCCATCACATTGCAGGTCTCTGAGGGGAGGGGAGGGGAGCGGAGCCTCACCTGAGAACCCTCCCAACTCCCACGCAGAGCAGAGGCACGGCAGGGGCTCATCACTGCCAGCATCTACCTTGCACTTTCCGGGCATCACCTAAGGGAGCCTCATGACCAGCTGGGGACGTGGGTGCTTTTATGATCCCCGCTTTACAGTCAACAAAACTGAGGCTGACAGGGTTAAGCGATTTGCCCAGGGTCACCCAGCTGGCTGTGTTGGAGGCTCAAGTCTGGCACTCTGACCACTGCACCACCCAGCCTCCTCTGTTGTCATCTATCCTTCATTCACCCACCTCGAGGGTCTCCCGTCCCCTTTATGAACGCAATAAACTCTCTGAACTCATGCTAAAAAGGAAAGGCTCTTATCAACTCTCTGGGGCGTCACACATCTGTGCTAAGGGCCTTCCGGAGTCAGTGACTGTTCTGTCTACTACTCGTATTTCTCACTCACTTCAGCAACACAGGCTATCCTTGGGACGGGGCACAGGGCCCCCTCCACCATGCCATGCCACGCCACACTATGCCATTCCACACCATCAGGCATCAGCAGCAGCCAACACTTGGGGAGCAGCCTTGGTGCACTCAGCCAGGCTTCAGGCTCAGGTCCCACCCCTCCCCAACAGAATCTCCCCAGACCTCAGGGTCACCTTCCTATCACAACAAAGCATAGAAGAAGGATCTCCTAAAGGGCTGCACGTAGCAGGCTCCTTCCTAGAAGCCCACCATAACCCTCCTCGCTTTCCCATTCTTTATAGCTGGCCTGTGCATTCTCAAATGGTCTGGACATCAAAGACATTAGAACTCCTAGCCAAGGCAACTTTGGACTGGTACCGCCCCCAGGCCTAGACTCAAACCTATAGCAGAACCTGCACCCTCTTATCTCTGGAAAGAGGCCTCTGGCTTTAACTGAGGAACAGCTGAACAACTCCCGTTCTGTGTCTTCAATAGAAGGTCACTACGCCACCAGAAATAAGAGAGAACATTCTGGGAAGGCTCATCTAAACCAATGCAGAGCACAGGGAGCAGAAGCAGGACAGCCATGGACACATCAACCACAATCTTATCAGAGAAAATGCCTTTGAAAGACTCCAAAGCCCTGCTGGATGCAGGGCCCAGGCAGGACTCCCAAAGACTGAGGAGGGCGTGGCTGCCTCCTCCATCTGGGCAGAGACCAAAATGTAAGTCTGCAGATGGAGCCTCAAAGGGCAGAACGGAGAGCAGCCAGGAGAAGTCCCGGGGAGCCAAAGTGGAGCAGGCAGCGGGCCGGAGTGTCTCACTGTCTGGGTGGAGGGAAGACCAGAGGCCTTCGGGCCGGGCCTCCACATTCCCCAGACACGTCTGGTGGCCAAGGGCTCTGACAGGGCATTTGCTCAGCCCCAGAAGCAGAGAGGAAAGGAAAGCCGTGCCGCCATTGTGGCTGGCTGGCTGTGGTGGCAGATATGAAGACCAGACTAGCCTCTGGGTCCCCCCTAGAATCCCCATCACAGGTCTCCCCAACAAATGGTCATCCACTTAGCCTCTGCCTGAGGACCTCTCTGAGAGGAAAGGTGCCACCTGGAGAGAGGAAGCACCTTCTCTTCACTGCTCCTGGTTTGGTCCTTGGGGGCCAAGCAGAGCAAGACTCATGCCACACAGCCCTGCCAGGGTTTGATCCCTGCCATCACGGCCCACAAGAATGTCCGGGAGAAATGCTCAGCGTCAATCTGGCAAGCTCAACAGGCAGAGCCCTCTGCAGACCTGCCATCAGATGGCGTTTGCCATCAAAGGCAGTGAGGTTGGTCTGGCCGGACCTCTTCTGGATGAGGCCAGGCCAGGTCTTTGGGATGGCCACAGAAACTCAAGGCAAGCTCAGGAGCCTCTACACACAGTCTGCAGACTGCACGCTCTTCCCTTTTGGTAAAATTCACACATCTATCACTCTCCCCATCTCACACACACACATACACACACACACACACACACACACACACACAAACACACACACACACACGCGCGCGCGCGCGCGCACATGCACACGCACACACCATACCTTGAAGGCTGGCCCTGGAGTTCTGTCCACATATGGAGTTTCTGACCCATCAATTCGCAAGGGGGTACTCTCAACCTCTCCCCACGTCATCATGGGAGACTCGTTCACACCTAGAGAAGAGGCCAAGGCCAAGACGGAGTCAGTAAAATCAGCAGAAGCAAAAACATACGAAGGTTAAGGAAAATGGCTGGGGGAAGTGGGACAGACCAGGACATCCAATGAATCCTAGTACCTGCTTCTCCTCTGAATCCTAGCCAGGGCTCACACTTGCCTGGGAAGCCCTGGTCCCAGGGGGATAACCCAGCCTTGGGGGACAGTCTTTAACTCTAGGGGTCAGAGCCTGGCCTGCCAGAGGCTAAGCAACCACTGCAGGCCCATCCACACTTCACTGGCCCCTTCAGAAACGTGAGCAGAGAGATGATTTAAGGCCATTGGAGGTGTACAGAGAGAACAGACGATGGGATGAGGACAAGGAAGAGAATGCTGGGTGTAAGTCTACCAAAGTCTTTGTTATCCAAAGGGCCTGAGGGTTGCCAGCAGAAGGGAATACAGTTCAATGGATTCCCTAAATAATTTCCACTCAAGCTTTAAAAAAAACCCCAACATCCCCAGATTCCTGGGCAGAAGGAACTATTATTATCACTATTAACTATATGATCAATATCTAAATCAATAACTGTGATCAATATCAGAAGCTATTATTATCTCTATTCATTAGAAAGTAAGCCCCACGAAAGCAGGGACTGTCTCAGCTTTTCTATTTAGGTCCTTAGCACTCGTATGTACACACTACACTATGTACTACATACACGCTAAGCATTTAACAAATGCTTTTTCATTCATTCACAAAAAAATAACTACTTCAGTCTGCCACATGCTGTGCAGATGGTGTGGTGTGGAGATAACCTCAAGCTCTCTAGGCACTGGCAACAAAGTCCATGCTCTGGCGGGTCCTATCAGGCTGACGAGTCTGCATGGGCAGGCCTGGCCAAAGATAAGTATGCTTTCCAAGGGCCAGCTCAGGACACAAAGGCTCAACACCAGCAAGCTGGTCACCAGGATGATGAATTGGCCGCCTCTGCAGAGACAGTGGTAGAATAAAGGACGGGGGGACAGAAGCTGCTAACAAACCCAACAAGTCCAACGACCAATCGCACCAATCTGGACATGCTCGCTAGAAACAAAACCAGCAACCAAAGGAAGTTGTGGCCAAAGGGGTTTTCCTCAGAAGGACAAATAAAGCTCATTTTGCCAGGTGCCCAAAGACAAGAAACCCTTCAGAGGGAATGTGTTCATCTCCCATTGCAATGCTGATCATATCTGCAGATAGAACCTCTGGAAAACAAGCGTTCGTGTGCTAACATCAGCTGCAAATTTTGAGGAAGGAAGAAAAATCACTCTGGCAAGAACTAACCCCAGCCTCCCTTTAAATTGCCAACGACGTCAATGCCAAGTTGGGCAAAGGGAAGGAGAGTGAAACACATCATGCCTACTTCCGTGACCTTGTGCAGAGTAACCTCTCTGGGCAAATGTGCAAGCTGAACCACATGACTGCTCAGAGGCAGCTCTAAAACCAAGCTCCTGGGGTGGTAAATATGGCTTGAAGCAAGAAGAAGAAAGGTCAAAGATGCGTGCACACCACAGAGAAGTCTCACACCTACTCTTCAGGAATTCTTCCTCCCTAAGAAGAATCATGCGGCTCTGAGAAGCACTAAATAAGATCACCAAACTGGGAACCAATTCTATTACAACAAGAAAGGACTCATTAGTGAAATGGAAGCTGTTTCCAAATCAGTTTCTATGTACAGTTAGACCACCGACTGGTGAAAGCTAACATAAATATGATTACAAAGTTAGAAGAAACTAAAAATGAGAAAAAGGCATACCAGCCAATTAAAACAATCCTAACCTGACCTATTAAAACAATGAAAATGGGAAGTGGATGGAGGAAAAGACTGACACCAATTCTAACAACTCCATAGAGAAGTTTAACTGACGCAAACTGATCACCACAGCAAGGAGACCTTTTAATCGGCTAACCGTGGACCACCTTAGCAAGTGAAGAGAGATGGCGGCCACGGGCATGGCACAGGATCGGGAACGATATCTCTTCATAAACAGTGAGAAGCAGTAGACAATAAAAACTCGTTTTTTAAAAAATCTGAAGGAAGACCCAAAGACGATAAAAGACGTAAAAGATCTGCAGAGGTTTCCATCGTGAACTTTTTTCATCATTGAAGAAAGGACAGCCACCATATTTGAACTAACCGCAGTTGGTTAGAGAGGAAATGGAAGGAGCAAGGAAGAAAACAAATATTTAAGAGATAACTTGGTCTGACCTTATGGTCACCGATATGTAAAAAATACTCTACAATAAAACAAGTGGATATGTCCTCATTAAAGACAGCTGCCACTGATATGGAGGAAATCTTACCCAGAGTACACACAGAGAAAGATTCCCTACAGGTGGCCAAGCCTTCCAAATGCTTTTTTGTGTGCGTGGTTTTTTTTTAAACACAAACCTCATACTGACTATATGAAGCCCCTCAACACTAGAGAACCTCCCAAATGAGATCCATAATCACTCAAAGAGTCTGGCCTAACTGCCCACACGGGAAAAACCAAGTGGAAGAAGAAGAACGTAGAGAGCACATCCATGAGCAGCAGAGATCTTGGACGGATACCTCGAATGGACGCTGAATCGGACCCTGAACTGAACAGAAAGAAAGCAGGCTAGACCACCTCCGGAAACTTCTAAGATCTTGACGAGCACCACGATTCTCCCTCGAGTAAAGGCCCATAGGCTCAACAGCCATTTCCTTCCCACAATGGTGGACAGCAGCCAAGTCACAGAACACGAAAGTCTCCGAAGACTGAAGCTGAGATCACCCAAAGGGCAAAGGGGAGGCACCTGGAAGGCACAACCTGGCTGCAACGTGTGACATATGAATGAGGAATCATGAAGGAGGAGTATGGGAAGGAGGGCGTGCTGGTCACCCGGCAAGAGCCCAGGAGGACTGAGGGACGGCCCGAGATGGGTCAGACACAGTCACAGCGGATGGGCAGGCGGGCACAAGGAGGAGAGCGCCACATCTCAAGAGCATTTCAGCCCGTCCACTGTTCAGAGCTGCTCCCATTTCTAGAACACTGACATTTACCATGGGGTCTCTGTGGACAAAGGAAGGACAGATGATGATGTCACAATCCACATTTTATCTATGAGGAAACTCAGCCCTGGAGTGGAGAAAGGATCCACCTGGGGAGGCAGAGCCAGGACCAGAGCCCGGGTCTTCTTGCCCATTTGTGCCATGATGCCCTGGGTGCCCATGACTCTGGCAGCCCAAGGATTATCATTCCCACAGCTTACAGGTGAGGAAACAGAGGAAGGCGCCTGTCCAAGGTCACCTGGCTCAGGAAAAGCCACGATTAGAACCCAAGGGTCCTGACTCCCAGGCCAGTGCTCTTGGCATGACTCTAGGTTTTCAGAGCAAAAGCCCCACGTCCCCTGGGATCTGCCATCCCCCCCAGAGGCAGCTAAAACCACATATGCAAACCAAGAGTTTCTCTTACCAGGGGCTGGAGAAGGGGTGGTAACGAATCCATACCCATTGACCTTGGGAGACTCCTGAGGGATCAGCTCCTTGCCATCGGGGCCCACTTTACCCTGTTTGTACTGAAATACAAAGAAAGTCACAGATGACCAGCACGCACAGGCGACCGATACTGTCCAAAGCCTCAGACGCTCCCAGCTCTGGCCAGCAGGCTCTGCAGCCTCCTGTGGCGGGTGGTGAGAGCTCTCTGCGGCAGCCCTCAGGCCGGTGGAGCAGGCAGCACCCCTTTGCTCCCTGAGTCCAGAAAGGCAGGCTGCTGCCAAGGACCCACCTCCCTGGTCTCTTCAGAGTCCAGGCCCCTGAGGCTCTGCTCTCTCCAGAGTGCCTGCCCTCAGAAGGCTGAAGGCCCTGGATCTCCAGAGGACACTGATGAGGGGATACTCGGGCGTCTCGGTTTGATGAGGACGTTCGACAAGCCAGGAGAAGAGGAAGGAGCTTTCTCGAGGTCAGATGCAGTCGCATGGCAGGCAGAGCTGGGCTTTGAAGCTAGGTCACCTCACCTCAACACTTCGATTATCACAACCTTCAAGGGAGCCCCCCTTTTCTGTCCTCTCCTCCCCCTTCCTGCCTCACTGACTAATCTTAACACTCTCAATCTGCTAACAAGGGAAGTCCTTTGCTCAAGATGGCACAATGAAGCACAAACTTTAAGGTTCTTTCCTCAACATCCCACCCTCGCCCCACACTACCGATTCACCAGGCTGGTCGCCCCTGCTCTGACACAGGCCCTGCAGATTCCTGCCTCAATACCTGTCTGTGCAGCTCCTCCTACCGGGAGCACCCTTCCCCTCTGCCCCACCTAACCCTCCCAGTCCTAGCCCAAGCCCCCTCAGCCTCTACCTAGTCTAGCCTGACTCCTCTCATCCACATTTAGAGAGTTCACCATCAAACCTGGCCCTTCGCTGAGCTCAAATGGTTTCATGCACTTTGGCTGAAAACCAGGACCAGAGCAGAGGTGGCAGCCTGGGCAATCTCCAACAATGCTGGGCACCCAAGAGCCTCAGTGAAACACGACCCCATCTGGTTTGATGCCAAACTCTGCCTCGGAGAGCTGAGCCTGCAGACGAGGCTTCCTGGCCGAAGGCGAGCCACCAGCGTCCACACACCTGGGCATTGAGGGCAGCTGCCTGCTGCAGCTGGGACTTGCTCAGGGCCTGGCTGAAAGGGTCCCTGAGAAAACGAGTGTTTCTGTGCAGCACCTGCCGGGGCTTCTTAAACACATCTTCCTCATCAGGGACACCTGAGGAAACACAAGCAGGAGCCAGACTCAGAACACAGGCACTCATCCCAGGTGAGTCATGGGACTGTGGGCGCGTCACACCCTTTTCGGGGCCTCAGTTTCCATGCTTACCCATGGCTACAACAAGAGTCACGTGGTTTCCAGGTCCAGGCCAGGGACCCCCCCAGCACAGCCATCTTTTGGAATGACCAAAGGGGGGGGTGACAACCTCCAAAAGTTAACCCCCTCCCCCACCAGGATGGCCAGAAACGGCTCACTTCCTCCAGGGCACCAACAAACTGGATTCCCTATAACAGCCCCAGCTGGTGCCAGAGCAGGTACGATCATGACCATTTCACTGAAGAGAAAGTTGAGGCACCACACAGTGCACTGACTTGCCCAGGGATAAACAGCTGACGTGAGAGCCGGCATTTTAACTCAGACCTCTTGGCCCCCAGGCCAAAGCAATGTCCAGTATGTCACGTGGCTTCTTCCATAAAGGAAAAAACACACCCCCCACCCTCCCCCAAAGTAAACTGACCGAATGAATATCTGAAAAGAAGATGCCCCAAGGACAGTCAGGGCACTACCCACCCAACCATTACTTCCCAAGCCCCTCAGCCCAGACTCCCATTCCAGAACTTTGATCAGCAATCCCTGGGAAACCTTTCTCCAGCCAGTCTCACCCTCAGGGTAGTACATCAGGGAATTCTTGGCCTTGTACTTCCAAGTCTCCACTCCGGCCTGGCTGCTCTGCAGGGCCTGCTGCTCAGTGGACGGCAGGGCCAGGTTCTCCTGCTGCCTCTGAAAGCAGGAGAAAAGTGAGAGGGAGCACCCCTGAAGGCCAGGCTGGCCAGCTGCCCTGCCTCTCCATTCCCATACAACACACACTTGGGGGACTTCAGACATTCGGGAAATGGAATTTATGAGAAACACACAAGGGAGATCCCATCTCCCCTGCCAGTCCCCAGGTCTTTCAAGTGATCAGTGACTGCCTACGAGAGCTCCCGGGAGGGCCACAAGTCACAGGACTAAAGCTGGAAAGACCTCAGAGATCACCTATTTCAACTCTTTCATTTTATAGAGGAACAAACAGGCCCAGAAAAAGGAAATGACTTGCCTAAGATCACACAGGTAGTCATCAACAAATGAGGATTTGAACCCAGGTCCCACATCTCAAGTCCTTGGTACCACCCAATGCTGCCTCATGTTTGAAAATGAATTGCAACCTCATTCTAAAAGGCCACCCTGGTCCCTGAGGACCCCCCTCCAATGGTGGGAGGGAAGGGGCTGAAAGCAACCACTGAGGGGCAGACAGACAGTCCCGGTAATGCTGGGAGAGGAGGAAGGGGCCAAGGAGACATGGCGAGGAGGAGTGGTGAGGCGGCCAGCAGCAGCACAGGGCCGCGGGGAGCAGAGCAGACCCACCCTCGGCGGCACAGTCTGAATTCAGCCTCAACATTTGCTAGCCACACAAGCATGGAGGCGAGGAATTCAACCCTCTGGGCCTCCATTTCTGTAAAATGGGAATAGCACTCCGTTTTGATTCAAATCAAGCTATTAAGCTCCTACGCTCTGCAAGCCTGTGCTGGTCCCGGGAGACCCACAGACAGAAGGAAGTAGCCCCTGCCCACCAGAAGCCTCCATTCTCAGGGGCCCAGAGCACAGAGAGTAAGTACGCTGAGGAGGGCCCCAGAGCCCACTGACAGATCACAAGGCTGCTGGGAGGTCCACCTGAGACCAATCTATGGCAAGTGCTTCCCAAGGGCCTTGTGGAAGGTGCTCTGGGTACCGGCTGCTCCCAGAGACTTCCAGCTAACCTAGAGCTTGGCTCGTCCCAATGCTAGGAGGCAGACACTCAGAGAAGCTTGGGGGCCCTCTGCCTCGCCACGCTGCCGCTTCCCACGAGTCAGGGAAGCCGGGCCGTGGGCAACTCGAGGTCCCTTTGCCAAGAAAGCTCAAGAGCCCAAGCTCCAGAGTGAAGCCGCACTCACCGCATCTCCCCTCCCCTCCCCCAGCCGTCTCCCCTGCCTGGCTCTCCCCGGAGCTCGGCCTTCTCCGTGAAAGGCAGCGGAGACATCCCAGAGGCCCCTCCTCACCTTTTCAAACTCATCCTCTGCCTCGTAGAGCCAGGCGTGCCGGGCTCTCTCCTTCTCCTTCGCCACTTCCATGATCTCCTGGAACGAGGCATTGTCCTCACTGGTGTACCTGGTCAGGAAAGCGTCGAGACTAGGGAGGGGCTCTCTGTCCTCCTCTTCCTCTGCTTCTCCCGACCCTGACGAGGACAAGAACCAGGGCACTCTGAGGGCCGAGCAGCAGCAGGCCCCTCTGCCACCCTGAGCAAACCCGCCGTGCCCCCATCGCAGCCAGGGCTGGGGCCCCCTCTCCGGCCTGGGATCCTGAACAAATGACTCACAACTCTTTGCACAGTCAGTTTCCTCCTCCCGCACAAAGGGGACGCCATCTGCACTCCCACCAGACCAAGAGGGTGGAGGTAAACCACCTGAGACACAGTCTCAGAGCGCAGGCCGCCCTCCACCCGGAACAGCCCAGACGCCCTCCCAGCGGCCACTGCTCAGAGTTCAGCACTTCTCCGCCGGGCAGCCGCTAGTGAGATGCCAGGCTGGGCTACGAGGCAAAAGCCCTGGAGAGAATCACTTCTGCGTGTCAAAGACCGGGCAGAAGCAAGAGAGTTTGGGCCCACTCAGAGGGGGTCAGCAAAGCCAGGGAAACGTCACTCGGGCTCCTGCATCTCCGAGCAGCGCCTCAAGCAGCCCCCCAGAGAGCTCATCCTCACTGGGCCTACATGGCCACCAGCAGCCCCCAACAGCTCTGTGGGCAGGACGACCAGAGGGGGAACCCCCCCCAGTGGCAGCACCCCTCAGCAGCGACAATGGCAAGGCCACTTACCCTCCTTGGGACCTTTGGCACGAAGTCTGGGCTTAGTCGCCAAGGAGGTAGTGCCCGGGTGAACCTCAGGGGTCTCAAATGTAGCTGGGGTCACATCTGACAAATAAGAGAGGAAAAAGGCACTGAAAAAACCGGGTCCCTGACCACCAACTTTGCCACAATTTGCCAAGGACAAAGACGGTCCCACTCCTGAGATGCCTCCAATAAAGCCAACGCCAGCAGGGGGACCCCTCTAAAGCCTGTGCCATTCCTCCCAGGTTAGGGCCAGAGGGTGCTTTGAATGGGCCTGGTCCCCCTCCAGGGACTCTTACACGGCAGAGGGGTGTCTCTGGACAATTTGCCCAGCGAAGAGCCGAACTTGATGGCTATCTGCCGCATCCTCTCCAGGTCCCCACTCTCCTCTGCCTCCAAGTACTCCTTCTGAGCTTGCAGCTTCTCCACATCAGGAAAGAAGTCCCGCTGAATCACTGTCTGGAGGCCCTGGGGGAGAGGAAACCAAAAGGCAAAACGTGACTTGTCAGTGAGACCCTCAAAGCCTTTAGCATCCTCATCTGAAAAATGGGGATAAGGCAGGCCTGCTCTACCTCCTTCCCAGGCCTGGGGAGAAAAACAATTTGTGAACTTTACAATGAGATAGCGTCATTCAGGAGAGGGGTTCAAAATGCCCATCAACAGCTCACATTTATTTTTCCAAAATGGCTATTTCCCAAGTGCTCTCTACATGGCAGGTTCTAAGCACCTGTGGACAGAGAGACCCTCTGCATACATGGGCTCAACACGACATCAGCATGTGGAAAGTTTAGCAAAGTCAAAAGATCTACGTCACAGCACAAGACAACACAGAGCCCGGTCAGTGGAAAGACAGCTTGCGTTAGGCTCGGTAAGGCCAGGCTGGAGCCTCAGCTGACATGACCACGCTGGATAGCTGCGAACAGGCAAAGCAGGCACTCCCCTGAAACTTAGGGTCTTCTGATGGATAAAATAAAGGAGGGAGGTGTGGCCATCTGCAAAGTTCTGGATTTTCGGCTGTCATTCCTAAGCCGCCCCACAAAGGGCTGAGTCAGGTGGAGGGGAAGTCAGGGCAGGGATAATAGAGAACTTTAGAAACCAACTAGCCCAAATCCCCTCATGCTACAGAGGAAGAAGCTGAGGCCCAGAGATGTGGCTTCCCCAAGGTCACAGAGCCAGCCAGAGCACCCAAGTCTGAGGGCCCCACAGGTCTTGGTCCAATGATGCTGGTTGTGACACATCCAGACCTATCCTGTGGGGCTCTCTGTCATGCTCTCCCACAAGGCTGCCATGAGAGGTCCACCTAAAGTGCTAAGGGCCTTCCTCAAACTCTCTCCACGCCACAAAGATGCGCACAGAACATGCAGCCGGCCCAGCAACACATCCCAGCCTTCTCATTTTCTCATCACACATTTCGGGATGACATCTTTACACCAATCCCCCCCCCCCCCCCAATTCTCCACTTTCACTATAAAAGGCCTTTAAAACTTCAGGGATCACAGAAAGGTGTGGCGATTTCCCAAAGGCAATCCAGCCCCCTCTTTTCCTCCTGACGAGTCCAAAGCCCAACTCACTGTCTGTCTGCAGCAGCGCTCGCTCGACAGGGAAAGATTTCCGATTCTACGGATACACAAGGAGGTGATCAAAGACAGAAAGGGACCACACGCACCAATATACGGTAAGGAAGCCCAGGAGCGGCCCTGCAGGGCTACGAGGTGAGCCCGGAGGAAGGGAAGACCATCCCTGAGGAAGGACTGCACAAACGCAGTACTGAAGGCGAGGCGAAGGGGCACTACCCGACACAAGAAAGGAGGAGGGCCTGGCAAAAGGCAAAGACTGCAGCAAAACCCAAGTCTGACATGAAGCTGGATGACCGAGCGCGCCTGCCTGCCTGGGTGCAAGGAGCAGGGGAAGAGAGCGGGCATTTATAGAGTGCCTACTGTGTGCCCGGGACTTTAAAAACAGCTCAGGCTCTTCTAATTCCTCTACTTCCACCCCTTGCCCTTCCCTAGGACACTTCCCAGCTGTGTGGCTCAAGGCCAGTTCCTCTCCCTCTCTGGTTCTCAGTTTGCAGCTCTGTAAAATGGGCTAACCGCGCTGGCAAGGCCATAGGAGGGATTTAACGACAGGCTCAGGGAGGCCAGAAGTTGTCACTGTTGTGGTTACTAACTGATGTTATCAGGGACCGACCGCGGGGTGGGGGAAGGGGAAGGGGACGGAGACGGGGACATCCGAGTCTCTGCTGGGGAAGGGGCGTGGGCCGCGAGGACCCAGGGAACCAAAGGGTAAACACCCGAGGCACCGCGGGACCCGGAGCAGGCCGCGAACCGGCAGCATCCGGGCCTCCGGCCCAGGGACTGGAGGGAGGTACATCCGGGTCTCCCGCGCCTCAGAAAGGGCCACATCCGGGTCTCCCGCGCCTCAGAACGGCCACATCCGGGTCTCCCGCGCCTCAGAAAGGGCCACATCCGGGTCTCCTGCGCCTCAGAAAGGGGCGGGGGGAAAGCGACCAGGACATCCCGAGCTCCACCCAGGGAAGGGGCGGAAGAAGGGAGGGAGCAAGGAACATTCGGGTCCCCCTCAGGAGAAAGGGGGTGAGAACGTCCATCCGTTCTGGGCGGGATTTCCGGGTGCCCGCCTCAGGAAGGAGGGGACATCCGGGTCTCTGCATCGGGAAGTGGGGAGGGGGAAACATCCGGGTGTCCGCGTCAGAAAGGGGCGGGGAACATCCACAGGCCGAGCCGGAGCCGCCTACCTCGATGTACTCCTCCTCGTCGAGGACCCGCTTCCTCGCCTTCGCCTCCGTCACCCGCTTGCTGCGAGCTCTGGAGCCAGCCAGGGCCGTACTTTGCCTCCGCAGGGTGCCCAGCGCCCGGGCCGCAGCGGCCGGCGAGGCGCTGCCCGCGCAAGGGCTCTCCATCTCGCTGGGCCCCCGGGGCTCGAGTGCGGCCTCGCAGTGGAGCTAGGGGAGGGCGGGAGACCAGGCGCTGATGACGACACTTCCGGCGCGCGCTCGTCACAGTGCCGCGAGGGCGGGGCCCGCGCCGAGCGGGGACTCCGGAAGGCGCGTGGCCATGACCGCCAACAGCCCCTGACGTAAGGGGGCGGGGCGCGTCCCGGACGTAGCCGCGCGGCTTGCCGGGAGTTGTAGTCTCCTGCCTGCGGGCGGCGGAGACAGAAGGGCAGCCCTGGGTTGGAGCTGGTTCAAATCCCTCCTGTGACACGCTGTATTATAACAATAATAATAATAATAGTAATAACAATAGCTAGCAGGCATATAACTCTTTACATATATCTCATCGGATTCTCAAAACAACCCTAGGAGGCAGGCAGGTGATGCTATGATCCCCATTTTAAGGATAAGGAAACAGGCAGGTTAGTTTGAACTCAGATCTTCCTAACTCCAGGCCTTCAGCTCTTAGCTTTCTCAAAATGGGGGCAGTAATATTTGCACAATTTACCGAATAGGATTGTGATAAGAAAAGTACTTAGAAATGGAAGCTCTAGTTAGAACAATATCATTATGATCGGTACAAATCTAATAATAACAACAATAAATAAAAATAATATCATTATTATTACTATTTCTGCTACTATGGCCCCTAACTTCTTCCCCAGATGCTGCCACCTGAGACACCGGGCTCCTCTCTGCGTGTCCTACCATGCTTGATACCTGTGTAACCAGGACAAGCCATTCACCTTCCTGGGCCTCACTTTGCTCATTTGTAAAATGAGGGGGGGGGTCCTACTCTAAATGTATGGTCTTGTGACCCCAGCCAGGCTCTCCTTTGCTCTCTCCTCCCTCTACCTGCCTAACTACTCCTCTTCAAACACAACTTCTTCCTTATCCCTCAACATGACTGTCCTCTAAGGCTCCCTCCTGGGCATTCTTTCTCTCTAGTCAAACTCCCACAGTAATTAGATGAATTAAGCAGCAGGGGGCACACTGGACCTGTTGACAAGAAGACTAGTACAAATCTCACTTTTATACTAGTTTGTATAACCCTGAGCAAGTCACAGCCTCTCAGGCTCAGTTTCCTATTCTGTAAAAGGAGGATTATAATGGCGCCTATCTCACAGAGTCATTGTGAAAATGAAAGGACATAACATTGTTAGCACATTGCAAATCTTAAAGTACTACGTACATGCTAGCTGTTGTTACTTATTCCTGTATTCCTATAGTCACTCGGGTGACTCCAAAGCTTGTCTGCATCCCTGACCTGTGCCTGCTGAGCCTCCAACCCAAATCCCCACCAGCCAATACCAAGTTCCTAACATTTCTGAGTATGAGGACCACTCATTAATGTCCAAAAATTTTGTGGACCTCAACATGGTAGTATTAGAATCAGTTATTAAATATGTGATAACAGAAACTACCTCTTGTGCAATAATAGTTTACCTTAGTGGCGTCTACCTTTGGCTCCTTAAATCTCTACCCCAGCAGCCTGCAGACAAATTATTTAAAACTTAGATTTGAGACCCATGCCTAGGTTTCTCCACAAAGGGGAGTAAAATGTATTCCATGTACAATATGAATCAGTTATGGGACAGGTATTTTATTCCTATATACAAAAGAAATGTTAAACATCTAAGATTCACTCAGGCATTTCTAGAACAACTTAAAACAAGATTCAGTAACTGTGAACTCCTGTTTCCGTCAGCTAGGCAGCTGATACTTAAACCTCATCAAGACAAAAGCAGTTTCCCAGACTGCAACCTCTTGGATTCACAAGGTTTCCTACGAGCCTGTAAACACCCATCTTGGAGCTGATGCTCAGTCACCTCCTGAGGAAAAGAAACACAAAGTGGGAAAGGCATCCAAGGACTGAGGTACAAGTTCACCTAAGAAAGGCGTCCTTCTCTAACTGCCACAAAAAAGTGGTTGCCATGATCCCACAGTGAGGAGGGGGCCAACCCAGGTACCCCACCTGACACTGGAAGTCTCAGCATTATCTGAGGCCTTTTGGAGGGTCAAATGAAGAGAGCCAGCTGGAAACCGTCTCCTCTTTTAACTGCTGTGACACTGTACTCCTGTTGCTGTCATGAGGTCAGGGGAAAGCCAAGAAACCACTTGGAGTTTTCTTCATCAGGGTAGAGTGATAAGTCCTCTCAATACTTAACTAACAGTAGCCGGGAAATCTGTCGTCATCAATGTGCCCAAGAGCTTAGTAATCATTCCCCTGGTGTGTCCCCAGATGTTTCCAGGGCTATATGGATGTGATTCGGAATGTCAGGTTCCCCGAGGCACAGCAGGCCAAGCTCTTTAGAAACAGGCAGCTAATTAGTCTAATTGACTAACATGGGCACATATTTCTTCCTGCAAGCATTTAGGATGCTTCTGTCCCAAGCCTCTATCTGATTTAGGGTCAGAAAATCCCTTTAGCTCCAAAGACTTCCTAAGATGTGGCATTCCTCTTAAATCATTTCAGGAGCTCCCTTTAGGAGTTATATCCGAAGCACCCCAGTTTTCTTCAGCTGCCCAGGATCCTTTGGGTCTTGCTATGCAAGTAAATATGAATAAATCAAAGGCCAAAGTGGACATGGTCGTGATCTTCTATCCTTTTGGTCCATATTCCTTGATCAATTAAATATGAAGGGCAGGCTTTGAGCTACCCTTTGCCATGTGTGCTAGACATTATTTGGGAAAGGTCTCATCTCTGACAAGTGGCAACGAAGTTTTACCAGTTTTCTCACTTCCCAGAGATTCTAGAGCAGTGATTGGTGGAGAAACAAAGTGGTATATGATGCTTCTGCTCCCAGATCTATGCTCTGAAATCTTTGAGCATTATAATTGGTTGCTTCGCTAGGGTCTCAGAAAATTTCCCAAAGCCAGTGAAGTCACTGTACCCAGCTACCCGTTAGCTCCCTGGGAATTTGGATAAGGGGCTCATTCAGGGAGTGCAGGTTTAGCAAATGGAAAAGAACAAAAGAGACCAATAAGATTGTTCATTACCTAAACCACTGGCTTATTCCCTAGTTCTCCAGAACTAGGCTTCAAACCCTAAGGCATAGTATAGTATCTCTGTAGGAAATGTAAGCAGGTTAACATTCACCTGGGGTTCTTGTTGAGTACTTAATATATTGGTATGTATAAGATGGGTCACAAAACAAATATAAGGGAGCAGAAGAGGCCTCTAGAACAGGAGTTGAGAGGGATACTGTTACCTAAGTTTCCTGCTATTCTGTCCAAAGTAGATATTTTTGTATTAAATATAGGAAGTCATTATTCATTCCACTGGAGAGAGAGAGCCAAGGGCGTGCCCAGGAAGAGACTCATTTGGCCTTCCCAGGTCCCTTTTCTTCTTAACATGGCATTAATCTCTTGAAAAAGTTAGCTCTTTGGTAAGATATGAAGGATGCTGGCCTAGACTGCTGCCCTTGCCCCTTTAACACAGTATCAAGCGTAAGTGATTTATGGATTCAAAGCTAATTCATCCACATGAGCTGTACCCTGACTTAACACTTTAAAGAAGTAGAGACAAGGAGAGAAGTCATGTGCAAAATCAGATTCAATTGCTTTAAGAAGTCTGCTCCCAGGGGCCACCCCAAGTGAGGCTCTGGATAAGATGGTGAATGGAAGCCCAAGCCGAGCAGCGAGGAGCTCCGGATCCAGCTGAGGAGCCAACCAAGTGGCAACCAGAGTGGGACATAACCCAAGAGAGATCCACAACAAGGGCAACAAATGCGAAGCTTGCCCTTTGTGGCTGTGTCAGTGACACAGACTGTTCAAGTCCACAGAAAGGGGCCAGTTTTCCACCGATTCCCAAGTGCTTTTGGCTATTGAAGCTTCACATTGCCCTAAGACTTTGAAGACATGGTAGAAGTCCCTGGGGAGGCAGTGCATGCTGGAGCCAGGAGGAAAGTTACTTTGACCTTTAAGGGCTCAGGTATAGGTTCTTTGCATCTTTTGCCCTATGTGCAGTGATTGTTTTAGCCAGAATGCTTCCATGGGAGCCCTTTTCATTTATTGTGGAGACATAGCTATGAGCCCACTTCTGATATTTCCAAGGAAAACCCTGAGGTAGGGATACAGGCCAAAAAAAAGAGATTATAATCATTGAGAATCCTCCAACATTGAACTTGGCTCGTTCAGTTCTAGGCCATGGGTTGTGATAACAATAACTAAAAGTGCCCGTAACCATCTCCCTGGACCCAGGAATGGGTATCTCCCAAGCTCACGAGTCTCTTGTGGGGCTGAGATGGCCAAGTGTGATTCTTCTGAGCTTTTCAGGACCAGTGCTGTTTCTAGGGCAGGATTCAAACCCGACTTTCCCCCAGAGTCCCGGGCTGGGGCTCATCTTACTCCCAGGACTCAGCACAGAGAGGATGATAGACCTGGAGGGGATCTTTGAGAAGAAGTCCACCGTACACATTTTATTGATACCACTTCAAGTTTTGGTTTTTGTTCTTTGATGCCTTCTGCTTTTTGTGGCACAATCATGTCCTGATATGCCAAAGAAAAAAAGAGCTGAGCAACACCAACCAACAGAGTGAGCGCATCTGACAGTGTATGAAACATTCCACACCCACAGACACCTCCCCCCTTCCTGTCCCATCAAGAGGAGGCAGGTGTCCCACCATCTCTTCTCAGGGACCCAGATTGGTGAGCTGGGCCCAGCTGCTTTTTCGCTCTTATTTTTGTCCCTGAAAGTGTGTTCATCATGTCTGTTGTTCTCCTGGTCCTGCTTCCCTTCCTCTGCGTCCATTCATATGTGTCTTCCCGTGTTTCCCTGAATGCTTCCTGCTCATCGCCTCTTAGAGTACACCAGTGTACCATTACATTCATAACCAGAGGGATGTCCCCCGGTCGATGGGCAGGCACCCTCCTTGTTTCCGGGTTTTTCCAGCCACTTAAGGAATGTTTGGGTATTCATTCATTTCTTGCTCGGTGCAAAGCCTTCTGCTAGGTTCTGGAGATACAAAGGTCCCTCGTTTATCCAGAGGGGGGCAGGGACTTGCCCAGGGTCCCACAGGATGTGAATGATAGAGGCAGTATTTGAACCCAGGCCCTCTGACCCTACATCCATCACTCTTTCTCCTATTCCAAGGATTTCAAGGCATTGTTCACCATGATCTGAAGGTGAGAATGTCAGGAGCAGTGGGGTGTGGCTAGGAAGAACACCCCTGAAATGAGGCCTTGTCCGGTCCCAGGCAGGCAGGATCCCAGGCTGATAGATTCCATCGATTTTTGTCTCCCTCCAAGGCCCAACTCTGCCGCCATCCCCTCCAGGGAGCCTTCCCTGCTTCCTCCCAGTGCCCCTCAGTTTGACCTTTCTTATACACTAAATCATTTTCTACATTGTTTTATCCTTGTCTGTATACATGCCTGAGAAGCAGCATAGGGTAGAGGGAAGGCGCTCCAGTCATTGAGTCCACCGCCAGCTCTGAAACCTTTGACCATGGGCAGGTCATTTCCCTTCTCTGGCCTGGTGTCCTGGGCCAGGCCTCTGGGCTTTGAGGGGGATGGGCTGAGAGCGCTGAGGGACTCAGCCTAGGAAAGAGAAGGTCACCTCCGATGAGGCTAGCTTTCGTCTTCTTAGCAGGCCTTAAGGGTCCCAAAGAACCCTCATCATACCCAGCCTGGGAGATAAGCAGTACAAGCCTTAGTATTTCCCTTTACTGGTAAAGAAACTAAGGCTCCGGGCAGTTAGGTGGTGCAGTGGATAGAGCACTGGCCCGGGAGTCAGGAGGACCTGAGTTCAAGTATGACCTCAGACACTTGACACTTAATAGCTCTGTGACCCTGGGCAAGTCACTTAACCCCATTGCCTAGCCAAAAAAAAGAAAAAAGAAACCATGGCTCAGATGAGTTAAGTGACTTGCCCTGGATGGCTTAGCTTGTGAGTGCTGGCACCAGGGTTTGAACCTTTATCTTAGAACTGAAAGATCAACACTCTCCATTACCATGTCCTCTAAGAAGAATCCTGTCATACCAACTAGTTGTCGCCTCTTGTCCTAGGACCATTGATTTAGAGCTGGGGGGAGGTCAGAAGTCATCTAATCCAGCCTCTTCATTTTACAGATGAGGAAACTGAGGCCCACAGAAGTTAGTTAACCTTCCCAAGGGTACACAGACATAAGCATCAGGGGCACCATTTGAACCCAGGGTCTTTGATCCTAGAGGGATTCTTCATCTAGGCACCTAGAGCCATTAATCTGGAGGCTGCACAGTGGTTATGAATTGTCAGTCTATGTTGAAGCTCACTCTCAGCTCTAAATCCTAAGAAAAACTCTGGTGATTATAGATACCCATTGATTGGGACATGGCTAAACAAGCTATGGTGTGTGAATGTCATGGGAAGGAAAGGGAAGGGGGAGAAGGGAAGAAGGGAAGGGGAGGGGAGGGAAGAAACATTTAGAGAGTGACTAGCATATGCCAGCCACTGCAGTAAGCAGTTTTTAATGGAATTTTGCTGTCCTGTAAGAGAGAGAATGCATGCAACGAATGTGAAACCCCATGGGAAGACTTCTATAGCCCCGGAGTAAGCAGAACCTGGCCAATGTCTGCACCCGTGTAAGTGAGACGAACAACAAAACAATGGAAACTGAATTCAGTAGGTCAGTCAACATTTATTAAGCGCCTACTATGTGCCAGGCAAAGAGTATAATGACCAAGCTTGTCTTCAGAGACCTAGGAGAAGTGTGCCCTCATGGATGTTGTACATAATATCAGACTTTTACAACATAGAAATTAATTTTGTTGAATCAATTTTTTTTTATCTTTTCTTTTTTGTAAGAGGTGGCTCTCTGGACCAAGAGGGAGAGGGATATATTGGGAAAGAGAATGATATAAAGACAAAAGTTATCCACAATTCTAAGGAAAAGAAAAGCTGTGAAGCTGAGGCCTAGAGGAGGAGCCCAGGTTCAAGGTCACGTAGATAGTAAGTGACCCAGGTGGGGTCTCACAAAACTGTGACTTGCCCAAGGTCACATCCGGATCTGAAAGAGGGTGAGAGTCAGTCCCAAGGGCTTGGATGGGCTGGGTATTTGGGGTAAGCCAGGTTGCTGCGGGCCCTTGGTGATAAATCATGTGGGACTTCAATGCCGAGACAAAGATTTGGGATTTTTCATCTAGGCATTAGGAAAACTCAAGCTAAAGAAGGTTCCTCCTGGGAGACACGGCCAGGAGAAGGACTGAAGGGAGGGCCACAGGGTAGAAGGCTGATGTCCTAAGTAAGATGTGAGGTGCCGCCAGGGTCCCATCTCATCTCATCCAGGAAACCTTCCCAACCACACCAAGCCCCAGTGATACCTCTCACCTTTGATTTTTCCAAGTTACCCACACTCTGACTTTAGTAGTCAGAGGTCCACACCCGAATAGACTATGAGCTGGTGCCCTGAGCTGCCAAATAACTCACATACAGCAGGACCCAGGCCCTGGCATTTTGGGCACCCCCATCCCTGCCTGTGCCAGCCCAGGACAACATAGTAGGGGCCTCACCCCCTGAATTTCCTCTCATGATCCAGGCGGTCCCTCAAGCTTTGGCAAATAAATTCTAAAGCTGGGCCCCAGAGACCCAAGGCTACCACTCTGGTCAGCCCACGAAAAGGGGCCATGGATGGGTGTGGACTGTTGCTAGCAGCCACTAGGGGTCCGGGTGGTCACTGGAAGGTGCTGGGAAGTTTCAGTCGAAGGTGATCACAAGGGACTACAGACAGGCATGCTATGGATGGCAGGTTTGGGGAGAGGGGGTTGACAAGCAAAGTCCTGGCACCTCAGACCTTGGACGAGATGACGTCCCAAGTCTTCAGACTCTGAGATTCTACCTACGCTCTTGACTGACTTAAAGGGGATGGGGACACTGTCTGGCCCCCTTTCTCAGTGCCCTTCACACCTAGCCCAAGGTCCAAGAACCAGGCAAAGTGGGCCTCCTTGGTCAGGAGGGTGGAGGGACTGGTACCTTGAGGTCTTAGGAGGGAGGGTGGGGATCAGGGCCAGGGTTGAGGGGATAGTAAGGGGCAGGCCATTCTCTTTTATCAACTCCCCCACCCCCCTTTGCCACCAAGATTACTGACCCTCCCCCGCCTCAGGCCAAGGGGCAAGGGACGAGGAGAATGAAAAGGTCAGGGACCCAGGGGGACAAGGTGCTCTCACTCTCCCCCACCAGCCACCCCATCCTGAGCCCCCCTTCTTCCCAGGGAGCCCCCAGACTTTTCTTTGATGCTGTCCCTCAGAAGCTGCATGCCTCAGCAGCTCTCCTTGGGAGCCTTCTTAGTACTTTGTAGGATGAGGGCTGAGGCTGACGCCCGCTTCTGATGCCGCCACTTGGCCCGACGGTTTTTAAACCAGACCTGTGGGAGGGGTAGGGGAGAAAGACAGGAAGAGCCTCGGGTCAGAACTGGGACCGCAGGTGCCTCCTACATGCCGCCCTCCACTCCTGCCTTGATTTCCCTTCCTTCAGTGCATTGGGGAGGAGGGTTCAAGGTGAACGTGGGATCTGCTTGGCAAATGCCCCAGGGACTTCACGAGAGGGCTTCCAGAAAGAGATGTCCCACGATAGAACAGGGAGAATGGGGGGCCTGCCATGGACTTACAGAATGTCATCCCTGGGAGGGACTTTAGAATGCAGAGTGCCCAAGCTGGGAGGGTCTGAGAGGAGATGTCAGGGACCTTACAGATGAAGGGGACGAAGGGAATTGAGGTGGGTGGAGGAGGGAGGAGCAGACTGGGGAGAAATGGAAGAGGGACAGGAATGAGGAATCTGGGGAGGCGGCAGAGGGTGGGGGCGGTATGCCATGAGGTAGAATTGAGGGTCCTGAGCCCTCAGAGGTTCCCTGGCCCTGGCCTCCCTCTCCATGAGCTCCCTACCTCCACACGCTCTTCCTTGAGGTGGATGCGGTTAGCCAGATGTTCCCGGGCCACCACATCTGGGTACTGGTTCTGCAGGAACAAGGCCTCCAGGGCCTGCAACTGCTCCTCGCTGAAGATGGTTCGGTGCCTCCGGGTTCTTCTTTGCAGGGGCTGGAATGAGGGCAGGGTCCCAGCTGGGGGTCCCTGGGACCCCTTGCACATGCGGCCTGTAGCAGGAAGCAGCCTCAATGGCCAAGGAAACCTGGAGTCTGGGAGAGGGAAACAAAGGCAGAGAGAAAGTCTGAGCTCCTGACCCACTGGCCAGGCATGGGGGCCTTCTGGGGCCAATGTCCAAGCAGAAGCAGAGCTGGTTAGTTAGGCAGGTGGGAGCATAGTGTCCTAGATCTTGGACTGAAAGAGACCTCAAAGGTCATCAAATCCAACTCTCTTCTATTTACAGCCAAGGAAACAGAGGCCCAGAGAGGCTGGAGAGCTTCGCAAGGTCAGGAAGGTCATAAGTGGCAGAGCTGGGATTTTAACTCGCATCTTCTGGGCCCAAAGCCAGTGGCTCTTTTCATGGAATTTCTCTGAGAGAGACAGACAGACAGACAGACAGGGAGATGGAGACATAGGAGGGAGACAGAGAGATCCAGGGGAGAGAGAGAGATAAATAGAAAGAGAGAGGCAGTGACAGAGGACTTGGTGAACGAGGGACAGAAAAAACAGACACGGGAGCTCAGAGACACAGAGAGGGAAAGACAGATATCATGAGAGAGAGGACAAGAGACAGAAATAGTAAATGAGAGAGACAGAGGGAAGAAACTTAAAAACAAACCAAGAAACATTGAGGCAAGCCAGACACTGAGAGAGATAGAGAGAAATGAAACAGAGACAGACAAGGGAGAGAGATGGAGAGAGAGACAGAGGGAAGGAGGAAAAGGAGGAGAGGAGAGAAGGGGAGAGAGAAACAGAGGTAGGAGAGAGAGACAGGGAGAGAAATAGAGTGAGGGAAAGGAGGAGGAGAGGAGAGAAGGGAAGAGAGAATGAGAGCGCAACAGACAGATACAGGAGAGAGAGAAGAAAGGAGAGAGGGAGGGAGAGAGGGAAAGAAGGAGGAGGGAAGAGAGACAGAAAGAATGAGACAGAGAGACAGAGACAGGAAAGAGGAGGGAGAGAGGTGGAGAGAGAGAGGGAGGGAAGGAAACGAGAGGAGAGAAGGGGAGAGAGGCAGAGATAGAATGAGAGGGAGAGACATTAGAGAGTGAAAAGAGAAAGAAGGAAAGATAAACAAACACAGATACCCAGATGGGGCAGAATGGCAGGAACCAGCAGGGCCAGACACAAAGGCAGAGAGGAAAAGGAATAAACTGAGTCAGAGACCCAGAGCAGGGGGGATCGAAACAAAGATGGACAGAAGAGAACGAAAGTGAAAAACGAGGCAAGGGGAGGCAGGCAGTCTGGCAGCAAGCATTTATGAAGCACCTACTGTGTGCCAGCTGCTGTGCTAAGAGCTGGGGATACAGAAAGAGCCAAAGACAGGCCCTGCCCTCGAGAGGCTCCCAGTCTGATGGGGGGATGGCAAACGCCTTTGGACAGACAGGACATGAAAGGGGCCGATACCAAAATGTGAGTCTAGCTGGAGTCTCCTGGGGCTGGCCTGTGGGCGGCCGGCCTCCCGGCTGGGAAGGGAAAGGAGACGCAACTTAGCACTTGGTAGTCATGTGACCCTAAGCAAGTCCCTTCCCCATCGGGGGCATCATTTGCCTTATCTATAAAATGGGGCAGTCTTGCTTAGACTCTCTGCCTCTCTGGATTGTTGAGACAAAAGCGATTTTAGGCATTCGTATTATTGTCCTGAAGAAGTGGGGCCTGGGGGGCACTGAGTTGTCTGGATCCAGACCCCCCTCACTTCTCTTCTCACTTGGCCCCTGGAGAGATTCCCAGCAGCGCTGCTAGAAATGGAAGGGAGTGGGGGGAGATGGAGGGCAGAATGGTCCCTTCTCTCGGCCCCAGCCTTTTCATTCTGCTCAGAGGCAGCCTTGGAGTCAGTCTAGAGGCCTGGGGTCTAGCCTTGGATCTGCCATTAACTCACACAGTGTGACAGTGGATTCAGCAGTCTAAGTCTCAGTTTCCTTTCCTGCAAAATGAGAGGTTGGACTAGATGATATCCCAGCCCTGACATCCCCTGTCCTAAGGCCCCTCCCAGCCCTGACATCCCCTGTCCTAAGGCCCCTCCCAGCTCTGACATCCCCTGTTCCAAGGCCCCTCAAAGCTCTGACCTTCCATGGTCTACAGTCAAGGGCCATAGATGCTGCTACGCTGATTCCTTTCTCCAGCCCTCCCTGAGCACTGGGTGGGAGCTATGATCCATCTGCTCCATGCTACAGAGAGGAGTGGTTCCCCAGGGTCCCCTCTGCAGCTCACAGTGATAGAGGGTCCTAGAATGCCAGGACATGGGGACCTTAGCAATTATTCAGTCCAAACCTCTCCCCTGACAGAGGAGGAGACTGAGTGCCCAGGGCCACTCAAGTTGGATTCCAATCCAAGGCCTCTGACTGCCTCTCTGGCTCTGACATCAGAGCAGACCATGGCAAGCATACTCACCCAGCCAGACAGCAGGCTCCTGCAGACCGTGGGGGCTGGCATGGTGAGCACAGCAACAGCAGATGCCACAGGTTGCTGGGCCTGGCTCCCCCAGCTCCTCAGGGTCCTCAGGCAGGGCTGCAGGAGAGTGGGACCCCCTGGGTGGCTCAGGACTCTTGACCTGGGTCTGTGGGCCAAAGGCGGGCAAGGCTGGCGGGGGAGGGCTGGACAAGATGTGGTCGATGCTGAAGGGACACGGCCTTCTGAGGCTCCCCCGGCCTGGGACAGCCCTGCCAGCCAATGCCATGCCCCACCCCCACCGCCGGGATCCCAAAGCACAAGGAGATTGGGGCCGACAAGCAGCTCCCAGCCCAGCAGACCCAGAGAGCCCCCAGAACCTTCCTGCTGCCCGTCAGCTGCGAGCCAGTTGTTGTCCTGTCCCAGGGAGCCTTATGGTATGGAGACCGGCAGGCATCGATAGGTATTTCTCTCCTAAGCTCCCAGCTTGCTGGCTGGGGGCTGTCTTAAATATCTATCTATCTCTTTATATAAATATATATATATATATATCGAGGGAGAGAGATGCATAATCCCTTTGGAAAGAAAACTCTAAGACCTCTGTGAATAAAAGAAATTCTCCCTAATCTTCGCAGCTTTGTGTGGGGTTAGCATGGATCTAAGATTTAGCTAATCCTCCCGAAATGAGTCCAGGAGGAAATCTCACCTCTCCATCTCGAGTGGAGATTGGAGGTGGCGTTTGGGGCCATTGTGAGCAGCCTGGGTCCGAGGCAGCAGGAGGAGAACCGTTCCCAGGCCAGAAATGGGCCCAGAGGATTAGCGCCTTAAAAAACTCTGGCCATTATCCCCTGGGGACAGGAGGGAATTGTCACATCAGATGGCATTTGAGACAGGCAGAGAAAAAGACACCAGGCCGCATACGGTGGGGATACTTGTAGAGATGAAAACACAGGGCAAGAGGCTGAGTGAGAAGGATGGAGGAGACAGAGCCAGAGACAGACAGATTCAATGAGAGAGACAGAGGCAGGCAGAGGCAGGCAGAGACAGAGACAGTGAGAGAGACAGAGAGAAATAGATGGAGAGAGAGACAGAGACAGAAATAGATAGCAAGAGAGACAGAGACTACAAGAGAGACAGAGACAGGGAGAGAAATGGTGAGAGAGACACAGTGAGGGAGAAAAGAGACCCCGGGTTCCAGGCAGAGGAACAGAGAGAAAGCAAAAGAGAAAGAGAGGGTCAGAGAGAAGCTTCCAGACGAGACTACAGGAAATCACCAGTGTGTATTTCATTCCATAAGGTTTCCTCTGCATTCTACAGGTGTAACTAATTTGATTCTCATAATGGCTGTAAGAGGCAGATACTTTTATTATCCCACTTTACCGAGGAGGAAACTGAGTCTGAGAGTTATTAAGTGCCCTGGGTCAGTCAGCCAGTGTTGGATGCAGGGGTCAGACTCGGAGCTTCCTGACCGCTCGGCCAATGCCCTAGCCCCTGTGCCACCTAGTTGCCTCTTGTTGAACAGAAATAGGAAAAGAGAAGCCGGCCCAGAGGCAGCAGCAAGGGGAGGGCCCCAATCTGAGTCCTCCGCCACTCAGCCTCACCCAGCATGGCAAAACTGTGCCATCTCTGGCGGCCCTCCTACCTGCCCTTCTTACCTTCAGGGTAACCTGCCCAGCCGGGGAGGATGTAGGATGCTGTCCCCCGCCACTCCCTTGGCATTAACCCAAAGAATGCACCACAAATGGTGGCCATCCAGGCACTGGGAGATTGGGAGAGAGGCGGACTGCAGATTGCTATGAACCATGGGATCTCCTGAAAAGTGAAATCAGCTGCCTGGGGGTGGCGGGCTCCCCTTTCCTGGAAGTAGGTGGGGTTAGAGGGTCATCATTTCGAACTGAAAGAGATAATCCAGTTCAACCCCCTTGTTTACAGAGGAGGAAACTGAGGCCCAGAGCAGGTAAGTGCCTCATTCATAGGATCCTAGCTCCACAGCTGGAAGAGAGCTCAGAGGCTGTGTCACCCAACTCCCTCATTTAACTTCACCTCCGGAAAGTTGAGTGACTTGTCTAAGGCCACACAGGTAAATAAATGGATTTCATAACAGGATTCAAACCTAGGGCCTCTGACTCCTAGGTATTTTTCCCTGTACCATATTTCCCAAGGTAGTAAGTAGCCTAGTCAAGATTCGAACCCAGATCCAGCTGTCTTTCCACTAAGTAGTGCTGCCTCTTGGACCATTTCTCGGGGAAAATTGGGAACTGGATGAAAGAATGTTGACCTAGGGCCCCGTCTGAGTCCTGGCTCTCCCACTTACCATCAGGGTGGCCCTCCTGGGGCAAATCCCATCGTTCTGTTTTCCCCTTTGCAAAATGACAGGACTTGGCCAGAAAACCCTAGCTCTGAGATTCCAAGGTTCTGTGAGATATTGGCGTAGGGGGGTAGCAGACATTGTGCTCCCTCTATGAAGTGCCCAGTAGGCACAGGATGCCACCTCCCTGACCCTTGCTAGCTGTGGTCCCTGGACTAAGTTTTCTCATCTGTAAAATGGGGCTAGTACTACCACAGAATCTTGGAGTTGGAAGCGAATGGAGGCATTTAGTCCAACCTATCCTGAACCAAGGGCCCCGTCTCCAATGCTCCTGACAAGACCCCTTTTGATCTTTGGGGATGTCCCTTCTGAGATGGCCCATCCCCACTGGAGTGTAGGGAGTCTGTCCTGACACGGAGCTCAGACCTGCCTCTTTGCACCTCTTGCTTCACTGCCCCTCACTCTCATGTTGTCTGAGGCCGAGCAGAACAAGCTTTATCCTTCATCTATCTATAACACAGACAGCCCTTTGGACCCCTCGAAGACAGTGGTCATGTCCCCCCTCAATCTTCTCTCTCCAGGATAAACATCTGCCCAGGGCTATTGTGAAAACCAGCTGACCTATTGACTGGATGACTCTGGGTAAGTCACTTCCCTCTGTTTGCCTCAATCAATCAATAAACATTTATCAAGCACCTACTGTGTGCCAGTCACTGTGCTAAGTACTGGGGATACAAAAAGAGGCAGACGACCATCTCTGCCCTCAAAGAGCTTACAGTCCAATTGGGGAAGACAACATGAAAATAAATATATACAAAGCAAGCTACATATAGGATAAATAGAAGTAATTAGCAGTGGGAAGGCACTGGAATTAAGAGGGGTTAGGGAAGGCTTCCTGAAGGAGGTAGAATTTTTAACCGGGACTTAGAGGAAGCCAGGAGGTCAGTAATCAGAGTGGAGGAGAGAGAGGATTGGAGGCTTGGAGAACTGCCAAAGAGAATGGCCAGGCCCACACATGGAGGGTCTTGTGCATGGAACAGCCAGGAAGCCAATATCTCTCAATCTAGAGTCCAAGGTGGAGAGTGAGGACAGGGGGCAGCTAGGTGGCGCAGTGGATAGAGTGCCGGCCCTGGAGTCAGGAGGAACTGAGTTCAAATCCAGGCACTAGCTGTGTGACCCTGGGCAAGTCACTTAATGCCATTGCCTAGCCAAAAAAAAAAAAGTCTGGAAAGGTAAGAGGGGCGAGGTTATGAAGGGCTTCGAATGCCATATTTGATTCCAGAGGTGACAGGGAGCCACTGGAGTTTATTTGGGGGAGGGAAGGATGACATGATCAGACCTGCATTTTAGGAAAATCCCTCGAGTGAATGGAGGATGGGCTGGAGTGGGGAGAGCCTTGAACCAGGGCGACCCCCCCCAGCAGCCATTGCAATAGTCCAGGTGTGAGGTGATGAGGGTCTGCATCAGGGTGGGGGCAGGGGCAGAGGAGAGGAGGGGGCATATTAGGGAGATGCTGGGAAGGTGACATTGGCAGACCGTGGCACCATGTTGGACATGGGGGATGAGGAGTCCACAATGACTCCTAGCTTGGGGGCCTGGGAGGATGCTGTTGTCCTCTTCAGTGATAAAGACACTTTGGGAGGAAAGATAATGTCTCTGTTTCCTCATCTGTAAAATGGGGATACTAATAGCGCCTACCTCCCAGAGTCATTGTGAGGATAAATGAGGTAATAGTTGTAAGGCACACAGTAGGAGCTATATAAATGTTAGTTATTATTATTATTACTGCTTCCGATGCTGTTCCAACTCACTTGATGAGCTTTTGGGGGCATGAGCCTTTGGCTGGGTCTCTTGACTCTGGCAGTTATAGACACGCTCCCTGGTGCACAAGGCTCCATGATTACAGAGGACTCAGTTGGCAATGACTGCTGTGGGATGGTGAGCGGTGGGAAGGGCCGATGAGAGTCTGAATGATTGCCTTTTTGGTGCTGGTGTCTTTCACTAGAGTTGAGAAGAGACCTGGGGTCCTGAGAAGCTGATGGCCACTGTGGGACAAGAAACATGGCAGCCATGAAAATTCTTTTTTTTTTTTTTTTTTTTTGGTGAGGCAATTGGGGTTAAGTGACTTGCCCAGAGTCACACAGCTAGTGTTATCATGAAAATTCTTGAACCTTAGCCTCCTATATAGAAGGCAAGACCTGAGTTTGACTCTCACCTCATATCATCTGTGTAATTCTCTGCAAGTCGCTTAATCCCTCTGGGCTTCAGTTTCCTCATCTGTAAAATGGGCATAATAATAGCACCTACTCTATGGGGTTATTGGGAAAATCAAAGGAGATAAGATTTGTAAAGAGCTTTGAAAACCTTTAGGCACTACATAAACGCTAACTATTGTTATTTTCTGGGCAGTGAGAATCTAGAATCTAGACTTCTAGCAGAAAAAACCGATTGGCAGCAACGGCCCGGAGAGTTGCCCGGCCAGCAACACCACATTGGAGCGTCTTGGAATGCACTTTGATTTCAGGATGCCAGTTGGTCTCTGAATGGGTTCAGCCACAGATTTCTCTTGGATATCTTTATGCTCAGCGTGTCTTGTCTGGAAGGAGAACAAGGTTATTCGTCGGTGTTGCCTTATTCCAACAGTCCCATTCGACCTTTAGATTCGAGCACGAAGCCTTTCGTCTCTGTCTTTCCTGGGCGTATATTAAAGCATTTCACACTTCTTTTGAGATCATTGGATAAGGATTTGACCAGATGAAAGAACTGCTTGATTTGTTTTTCGCTGAAGTCCTATAACATGATGTTATCCAAATTGTAGTTGTTATTTGGTTGTTTAAGTTGTGTCTGACTTTGTGCGACCCCCTTTGGGGTTTTCTTGGCAATGATGCTGGAGTGGTTGCCATTTCCTTCTCCAGCTCGTTTTATAGATAAAGAAACTGAGGCAAACAGGGTGAAGTGACTTGCCCAGGGTCACACAGCTA